CCTTGTTATTCTGGGCACCATCCAAACCAGCATGATTCTACTACTTTGCATCACTCTAATATTTATCACAGGCAGGTGTTTTCCCAAGGACCCCTATGGGTAAGGTAGGTACCAGCCAGGATTTAAACCCTGGTCTCTCATGTTAAAGGTGGCACTCTAACCCCTACCCTGTGAGCCATTAAACAATATCACCGTTCTCTGTCCAAAAGAGTGAGGTGTTAGGAATAACTAAGATACTGCACAGAAGCCTCAAACTCCCAGGCTCCTGGTAGAGGACCCGAAATTGAGGAAGACACAGAGCATCCATAGGAGCAGAATTGAATGAATTTCTAATATATAGCTGGGCAACTAAACCTGGGCAAAGTATTTGAAAATCACTATTTGAAGTTTTAAGACAGCTATGTCTTCCTGAAAACTCAGACAGGTGCTTCAAAGGCTGTTTCCACTGTGTTCATGCATCACTTGCTTATTTTTGCTGATGGAGCCAATGAAAATGTGAAGTTTCTCTTTCAAATGCTTTCTGTAGTCTTTATTTTGACTTCATTAGTTTCTGCATATAGGTCTTATTTAAATATTAGAAAATGTATCAAATATTAGTATGTTCCAACAGTTGTTGCTATACTGTAATTCCCATTAACCCCTCACCACTGAGCATGCAGGCTACAGATGCTAGGAAGTTTAGCAACACCTAGAAGACAAACAAGTTCCCACCTTTAATATACAATTTGCAACATTATTTATTTTATTGATTTTTTGCAATCTTTCATTTACATGATCCTTATTTCTTATCGATAAAAGAGATCTACTATCCTTTAAAAATATCATGGCATCCTATGCTTTTTTAAAATTCTTAGTGGAAGCTGGAAATTTCAGTTTTAAATCAGTTTTAAGTTTAGCCAGCTTAGCCAGCGAATCTTTCATGAAGTCAAATACAATTTGTATTTACAGCATACTTCAACAGCTGCTAAATACTTTCAAGTTATTTGCCGTTGTCTTTTTTATGGACAGGTGTTTCTGGATGTCTTAGAAAATTTATATAATTATTAGAAAATGTTACAACATTGACATTTATTCTGAAAGTGTGAATTAAATAAATGAGGACTCCACATGGACACAGCTCAGAAGGTTTTTGGAAGCAAATTATCTTGGTAGAAGCTGTAACCAGAAGTGTGCTGTCCAGATGGTTTGTTTGACACAGTGCAGCACAGGAACTGTGTGTGAAAAGCTAAATAAATGTTAAGGATTAGTCTAAACTTAATTGAAAACCTCCATGTAAAATACCATTAAATGGTACCAGTTTTTTATTTAATTTTTTTTTAAAAATGTATTGAATCCAAACATACTATTTAGAGATGTAATATCTAATAGAGGCAGTATAAGAGTATCTCTGATCCATCGCACACTTGTTGAAAAATAAGTTTTGGTCAACATAAGGATGCTAATAATGCCAAAGTCAATATACTAAATAGAATTACGTATTACAAATAACTTGTGTTTAAATTGGCAATCTCTATAGGATATTCCTTTCCCATTGACAGTATCTTGTAGAAATTAACTCGAAATCTTGGTATGGCTAAGTTAAGTGACTCATATCCAGCACTGTGAATTTTGATATGCATCCTGAATGATAGTTTTATCATGATATATGTAAATGTGATAGTTCCTAATCTCATATGGAAATCTATTTCAACCCGAAATATTTGCAGCACTGCATGTATTCTCTCCAGTCTTCTTTATAGTTTCTTTGAATTCCTTTGCCATTTTTTCTTTGTCTCTTTGAAGTATTTTCAAGGCTCATTTTTCTTATTCCGCTTTATCTGCTTTTTTCCAGTAGCCAGAGATTTAGGTGTTCTCAGTGAGCACATCAATGTTCCAGACAAAGACACTGTTTGAAATTATCCATGAACCCAGTGCCTCTAAACATTATTGAGTGGCATTTGTTTCTGTAGGTTATGTCTGCTCTGCCTAACTGGTTTATTTCAGATTGGCAGCTGGGATTACAGTGTGGTAGATGGAGGCTTTGCATGGTTTGAAGACTGCATTGAAGCTGTACTAGGCCTCAGTTTAATATGTCTGGAATGTACAGGCTCAGATTAGAGAAAGTTGCAAAACACCGAGAGAGAAATAAATCGTTTTTGCAGGCTGTAATTACTTCTCTGTTTTAACTCACAGTTTCAATGTAATTATACATGCAGGAGTTATTTTCATAATTAGGCTGAACAAAAGTATGTTTTATTATTTTATTTTCTTACGTGAAAAGTATTGTTGCAGTAAGATGGTGTTCTAAAGAACCTAGATTATACTGAGGTTTCATTCACCTTAATATTTTGAAATACACATTGTTTCCATACAAACACATATTCTGGGGTATACAGGTTATGGTGGAGGAAAGCAGCAACAGAAAGCAATATTGTAAAAAAAAACATATTTTTCTTTATACGCATGCACACAAGCACATAAATACATGCAGACATACATACAAACATACCTACATATTCACCCATTTCTTACCAAAATAAAGGTAGGTAGGTTGGTAAGTATAGATAGATTCCTCACCCAAGAGACAATGCCCCTATAAATTTGGATGCACAGAAACAACAGAGCATCTGTTTTCCAGTTCCTGCTATATAAAGACATTTGTACTAGCCTCATCTCACTATTACTATATAAATATCCAGGATATACAGGACTACTCTTCTACACCTCTTTGCTGCTTTCAGATACCAGCCCTGCTACAACATACAGTGTTGCCAGGTTTTTGCTCAGCAGTGCTTAAAATTCATTGGATGATGACCTGTACCATAAATTAGACTTAATGAACATCTAGTTCACCATACTAGAATGCTCTGAAATTTGATAGCTATAGTCTTTCACATGTTCACCTTTATGCTACCCCTTTTTATTTTCTTTCAGTTTTTATATAATTTTTCTGTTTTAAAACATATTTTTACATCTTTTTAGCTTTTCTTAATTGTTTTAGATTCTGGTGTATCTTCTATGAGTTGTACTGATTTTACTCCCCACCCCTTCCTTGTGCTGATCTATGACAATAATAAAGTTTTGATAATGATATCATGTTCAGTAAAATTTATTCTCAGGTAAATGATTAAGAATTGAATGATTAAATGATTGAACTGAATGATTATAAAATTAACTGGTTTGTAATGTTTTGTCTTGTATGTTAACATGTTATTTATTTTCTATTATTATGAAAAGTATTCATGCAGACAGGGTTATCTTTAAAATCTCAAAGAGAGGCAGTTATGTGTAGGGGTTAAGGCACCAAGCTAGAAACCAGGAGATCTTGAATTCTAATCCCAGCTAAGGTTCGAAGATAGCTGGGTGATCTTGAGCCACTTGTTCATTCTTAGCCCTAGGAAGCAGGAAACTGCAGGGACTTGTCACCCTGAGTCAACACTGACTCAAAGGCCCAATTTTAAAAAAGCAACTCTTCTCATTGCCTGCAAAATAGGCCATATTCTTCCTTAGTTCCCTGCAATAGTTTTCAGTGATTGTAGAGGCGTCAGAAACATGGCTGATAAACAAGGGCTGAATCATTGATTTGTAGCATCTAGAAATCTCGGAAACAGCAGGTGAAATTGCAAAAAGATGGCGAAGAGCTTTCTCTTTAGATGCAAGTTCAGTTGTACATGTACTGCCTAAAGATATATGATGGACAAATTGAAAATAAATAATGCATTTGGAATATTTTAATCATTCTCATCATTTTGACTAAAATTATAGATAATCTTGTATTTCGTTTTGTCTTTCACATCTCCCCAACCCTTTTTAAAATTACACTTTGTAGTTCTTTTCAGACATAAACATATAGAACAAGCACATAAAGTTGCTGCCAAAGAAAATATATTTGTCTGTAGTCTCTTTATTACTAGAGAAAGCAGGAAAATTTACGCATCTTGTAATTATTTATAACTTTCTCAGTATGACAAACACACAGCAATGAAGCAAACATTCAGTATGTTAGGTATTTCTTAATGTAATTTATGATAATCTTTTTCCATATAAGACTGTATTTTTTTTATTAAAAGCTTTATAAACGTTTTACAATATAATTCCCCCCTCTCCAAAAACCCTCCCTCCCCCTACCCCTCCTTCCCCCCCCCCACTTCCCAGAGCTAATCACAGGGTTAACAATAGGATAATCGTGTTCTAACTAACATTAATCTACTATTAGAATAACAAATCTGTAAAATCCTTTAACTCTTTTTAACATAAAATATATTAAGATTAAACACAATAATAATAATAATATCATATTAGTAATTAAGAATAAGGATAAATAAACTGTTATAACATATTAACAACAATAATACTCTAAAATTCACTCAAAAACCAAATGGAACTTTTTGGTCCCATATTTATTCTCAATATAATCTATCCATCTTCTCCAAACCAAAATATATCTTTCTTGTGAATAATCCTTCACATAAGCGGAAATCTTGGCCATTTCTGCTAAATTTGATACTTTAAGTGACCATTCTTCTATAGTGGGCAAACGTTCCGTTTTCCAATATTGAGCTACTAGTAGTCTTGCAGCCGTTATAAGATTCAACATCAAATTCATTTCTTTAACATCCAAATCTTCCATAATACCTAACAAAAATATCTGCGGTTTAAACTTTATCTTTTTCTTAAAAATATTTTGAATATTTCACCATATCTTAATCCAAAATGCTTTTATTTCCCTGCATGTCCACCAAATATGAAAATAAGTTGCATCTAAATTTCCACATCTCCAACACTTAGGTTGTAAATTAGGATACACGCAGGACAATTTTTGAGGATCCAAATGCCACCTTTAAAACATTTTATAAAATTTTCTCTTAAATTTTGAGCTTGAGTAAATTTTACATTTCTAACCCAAATTATCTCCCATATATCCAATGAAATCGGTTCTTGTATATTTTGAGCCCATTTTATCGTACAATCCTTAACCAATTCTGTTTCATATAAGACTGTATTGATGATGTCTTTCTCAGGCAGTGGAAGCTCAGATCCGAAGTTTTGGACAGACTCCTTCCCAAGTGCTTATAGAACCACATCCTCCAAGAAGTTCTGCTATGCAGCTGGTAAGTTGGGTGCAGATTTTATACTCTGGTAAAAAGACTATTCTGAATTCAAATACATAAATCTTTTTTGTTTGTTTGTTTTAAACGTATAAAATGCAAACATTTTGCAAGCATACCGGAACTAATATTTTACAGTGAAACTTTTTAAAATATTCATTCTTCCACTGAAATTATAATCCATTACAATTTATTGGAATTCCACTGGAGTACATCATTTTCATGGCATAAGCTTATTTTCTAAAATACTTTTAAAAAATTATTTTAGGGATCTTATTTAAGTTTAATCAGATGAATATAATGATTTTTAAATAATGATGCTCCATTTTAATTTCAGGGACAACATAACATGATCACAGTTACTAAACTCAGTGTGCACTTTATTGTTCTCTTTTTGTACATGGGCAGGTGTACAAAATATGGCTTTTACAAAGCTATATGTTCAAAAATATTTGGATGATATTCAAATCTGCTCTTAGTATTTGATATTCCTTTTCACATAGAAATGCAGTTTAGAAATAAAAGAGAGGAGAGATATACAAAAATGGAAATAAATTAATAATGTCTTTTGAAGTGAAAACAAAAATAAAATCAAAAGATAAATTTAATCAATACTGCTTTTACCCAAATTCGTTAAAAAGTATGGTATTAAGTTTGTGTAAACATTTTGAAATTAGTGGGTGGATTTAGATCACTCATTTAAAGTCAGATAACACTATAGCTATTTGCTTGAAAATCAAGAATTTAATTCAGGCAATTCCTATAATTTTAACAAAATCAGATCACACACATTTGTGCATATCTACAGTATATGTATGTACTGACTGTGTGTGAGTTTAATGTGTATGCAAAAAAGATATATTTTTAGCACTTCAGACCTCTGCCACAGAGGCGAACATGCAACCGACGATAGCATCTCTGCAAATGTTTTATAAACTATACCTTCAGAGATGAGTTTTAAAGTTCACATTTTTATTCTGTGTGTTTTAATTTTTTTAGGTGTTAAGATGAGAATGACAAAAATTTTCATTCCATGCTGTTAACTTTTTAGATCACCAAATCAAAGTTTTACCACTGTAATGATTGGTTTAATCGCTAAAAGTTCCGCTAATTTCTTTGGGTTCTGTGTGGAGAAGACATTAAAGGCACCATGGGCTGTGTTAAGTGCACAGGCCATAATATGCACCAGGTGTAGTAATTAGCAATCACAAGGATGCTGCCTATTTGTCTGGTTTGGCTGCTGTTGCTGTATCCCCTTGTGTTTTCACACCATCAGATAGCTGGATTTAATTGAGGCCACATCAGATGAGGCATTACTGACACCTTTAATTGAATGAGCATCCAGGGAGGATTAACTCATAATATTGATTGGCTTTTAGCCACTTGCTCAAAAGTGTGTCTGGGTAGCTTATTAGTTGTTTTTATTTACACCTTCATGCTAAGATTACAAATAGTAATTCATAGTGCAGCATGTTTTTCTAAGTACTCTTAATGCTGTTTCTTCAAAGGAGGGATATAAAATGACAAATGTATTATTTATTAGTTATCTATAAAAAGATACTAAATGTACAACTAATGATAAATAGGCAAAAACTATTGTCACTGTATTCAAACTCCAAAAATACAATGCCTTTCAAAAAATTGTATTTCAGGAATATTCACAAATAATATTAGTAATAAATATATAAATAATAATTTTATTCAGCAGAGTGTATATTAATACCATGCTCACTAACAATAAGTTCTTTTATTGGCTCAGCTGTTACATATTAGTTATTTCAAACAGTATCAGAAAATATGAGAAAGTATGATTTTGATAATATAACCTGATACCACTTGTGTTAGAATAGGAGCAAATGGCTGTAATTTGCTACTTCCTAAATGTTAAACGTAGTGATGAGAGTTATAAAGACCTTGATCATTCCTTTGACATCAATTATTTTATAGCTTCATCAAATAAGTGTATTTAATCTGATGTAATATTTAAAGGATGTGTATATATGTGCCTCTGCACTCCCAAGTTAGTGTTGATTCCTAGCAACTACATGAAGTAGTCCCTGTACTTTTCTTGGAAAAAGGGCTGAATGAGAGTGACTGGCCCAAGGTCATCCACTTGGTTTCATGCCTAAGGAAGGAGTACGTTTCCTGGTTTCTGGCCTGGTGCCTTAACCACTACACAATAAGGATACACACACATACACACAAACTTAAACAGTAATTGGTAAGATGCAAATTGAATTATATATTATGGGATCCTAACGATTAAAGGAGCAATTTCTTATGTTAAGCAATAGAGGCTGAAAGAAAATTTTGTGACTCTTCTACAGATATTAGGGTTCTGATCTGACAGTACATAGCAAAGAAAGTCATCCTCTTAACAAATGAAACTTCTATTATCAAATAGAGTTATGAAGGTAGGATGCAAAATTGCAAGGTGTAAAACATTAAAACAAAAATTCAAAAGTCTGCAGTGCATTAGGGACTGTGTTGGCATGACTGTTTTCCTATTTATATACATTGTCATACTGGAGACCTAGTTGGCTCTGTCCTATGTGGAAAACTCCTGTTGCCAAGTTGCAGTTCTAGGTGACGTCTAAGTAGCTCCATAGCCATGAGGTTCTGCTAGAAGAGCTATACTGAATTCTAGCTTTCCAAGAAGAGGAAGGATTAGGAAAAAGTGTCATAGCAACCAAGGAATTGCTAGAAATTTATTTTATTTTATTTATAAAACTTTGACTTAAAATGATTGTTAATTAGATTAGATTCAGATTAAGCTAACCTCTTGACATCTATGAGATACTTAAATGAAACATAGAGATATTATGCTATTGTTGTCAAATTGTTCATCCTTGACTATTAGTTGGAACATAAGAGTTTCATCTTTCTGGTGGAATGTCTAATGGACCTTGAGAACATGGAGGGGGCAGTAAGAGTTAAGGATAGGGTTGGCACATTACAGAAGAGAGTCCTGAGTCCAAGGGGGCGGGAAGTGTGAGAAAGAGACTCAGTAACTCTGCCTTAATTACATTAGGTATAAATTGTGTGACAGAATTATTTTGATAGGTTTTTGGATTTTGGTTATATTACCCTACTAGTAATAATAATATTTCCAGAAACTCAGTGTTTCCTGAACTTGTTAGCCTTATGGAGCTTGACAATATTATATCCTCTTCTATTTGTAACTTTTCCTGATTTCCCCCCACCTCATACTTCATGTCAGGGGTCTCCAAACCTGGCAACTTTAAGACTTGTGGACTTCAACTCCCAGAATTCCCCAGCCAGCATGAGATCCCTGCTTTATATTATTGATTTTTGTTACCAAAAATGAATCAGTTGTGGAGGAAAAGATGGAATAGCTGCAGAAAATCTTTTGATTGATTAATAATATTTCCAAATTAAGAACTCTTCATTTGGAAATATTTTCAATACAACATATTAGTTAAATACAACATATTAGTTAATAATATTGAACTTGGTTTAGTTTATTCTTTAAAATTCATATCTGTACTTCTTTTATATATTGTTTAAAATCTACATCTATGCTTATTTAAAATCTACTTCTATAGGCTTGTATCATGAATGAAGCAGATACTGAAGGGAAACTTTGAATGAAATCATGGTATCTGTAATATAACTGAACAGTAGCCCCAAAAATGCATACTTAATTGTAGAATCCATTGGTTAAAAATTAAATTAATGTGGATTGATTAGTGAAATGATTTCTTAGAAATGTTGTGTGAGACAATGAATAGATGCTGATTCAGCTGAATGTCAGCTACCACAGTGCTGGCTTCATCAGAACAGGTCTAAAATGGAATTTGACTTCAGATGTCATATCCTTATTTGTTATCATGTAACACTGTTCTGCTCTGAAGAGGCTAGTTATAAGTCTAATGAAAAATCAGCACATATTCAGTTCATCAAAATGTAGTAGCCATAAAAATCTATATTCTACAATTAATTTGAATTAATATTCCTACATGAACTTCAAGGTTTTCAAGCTGTATACAATAATACTTCAAGTTCAATTCGAAAAAGACCCTTCGTTTGCTATTTTTTTAAAAAAAGCTGTGTCTTTTTCCAGGGCAGACATGTGATCATGGAATAATAATAATAATAATAACAACAACAACAATAACAATAGGTCTTTTAGTCTGACCCCCTGCTCCTGCTCCTGCTCAGGCAGGAAACCCTATACCATTTCAGACAAATGACACAGCTGCTTTAACAAGTTGCAGACAGATATTACGTATATGCTAAATACTGGGCTTAAAGCCTGTTCCTGGTTCTGAATTTAAAGCATTGCACAGTCCTAGAAGGCATGCATAGCATATATGGATTGCATACTTAATTTGTGTATCTATTTATAGTTTGATCTTTAATGCTGTTTTACAGTTCTTTGGAGAACAGATTTTCATCTTCATGGGTTTTTTTTCTCTTTTTATTGGGGCTTTCTTTTCTTCACCTGAATCTGGTGCTTGAGAAGCTTAGCAATTTTAATACACAGACACCTGGAAATAGTTTCATGATGACTTGCTGTAGATGTTGGATTTAGATTTTTTTCTCTCTCCAAGTATTTTTTAATGTGAAATCAAAATATTGTTTCCATAGTCCTGTGAAAAAATATTGCATTAGTATTCACTTGCAGCTGCTGATGGTTCTTGCTTCTTTTAACGGGGTCTTCACTGTTCCTGCACTTTCTTATCTTTCCAATCTTCTTTGCCTTTCCCTTTTTCCCTCGTGGTTGGGATCTTGTTTTCCCCACTCAACAGTATCTCCTTCTCCAGAGTCCATTGATGTTCACAGACCAAGCACAACAGGATGTCATCATGGTCCTAAAATTTCCATCCAACTCTCCTGTAACACATGTAGTAGCCAACACTCAGCCTGGTTTGACAAATCCTGCTGTGATTACTGTCACTGTCAACCGACTGTTTGCTGTGAATAAGTGGCACAATCTTCCTGGTGAGTATAGAAATATTGATTACATAATTAGCAGATTGGTGTGTGTGGTGGTAAGGTGCAAAAGGGCTATAACTTGGTTTTCCATAGTAGATTGAATCTTAAGAAGTATAAGCATAGTTTCATTAGTGCAATGGAGCTTCCAACCATTTCAGAAATGTCATGCAGTAAGCTATGCAAACTATATATAACAATACATTATAAGAATGCCAGCCTCATTCTTTGGCATCAAGTCTTACTAAGTACCTGAGCAATATAAGCCATAAGTTTTACAATTTCTAGCAAGATGCTAGTTTCCTATTATTCTGGAAACAAAATTGTAGGCAGAGTTGAAATACGAAATCTTGATTGGTTATTTTCAAAAACCACATAAAAACATCTATAAGCTTTGAATTATCCTTGGTTTGCTGTGTCAGTTTAAATTTTAATGGTGAAAACAAATATATAAAATATATATCATTTTAGGGCTATTACATATGACCCCTGTAAGTTTCTAAATGTCCTTTGTCTATCTGCATTTTACATCAAGGTTTTCCATCAGTCTAGGAATAATTGTAATTGAATACAAATGTTCATGTATCAGTTGGTAAATTGGTTGAAATGCTATTCCTGATAGGTGAACAACTTTACTCCAAATTTAGTCTGAACTGTCAGGGAATGGATAATGTCTGCTTGTCAGTTGGCAGGATATTGGAGAAAAACAGCTTATCTTTGTGGTTGCTTTTACATTTAAACCAAATAGTACCAGTAAATAGTAAATGCATCCTATATTTCTGTTCTCAATTATTCTCATTTCCCTATTAACCCTTTTGTGCTTCATGAAAACGTCCCTCCTATCAAATCCTTTGTCCACATCTATTCCTTACTGCTTTTGACTTTTGAAATTCATCAAATTTCTATGAAACAAAACAATGTCCACTGGTTTATTACTACCAGCTATTTCAATGTCCTTCCTTGTCTCTTAGCTTTTTTATTCTTGTTTAAAATATTGTTTGTTATTTTACTGTATAATTCCTATCCAATTTTTAAAAAAAATGAAAAATATGGAAATCATATTTTATTTGACTCAGGTAAATAAAATTGTATACACTTCATTCTGCTGATTTAACAATATTTCACTGCTGAGTACAGTACAACATCTATCCTTACAGAGAAAAAACTTATATTGCTTATTATGATTTTACTGAATCACAGACTTCTGAATTCCTCATGAACTATGTAATCATTCCAGCAAAGCTGGTTTTATGATAAGCATATGCTTTGCAATATGCCTGTGAAAAGGTGAGATATTGGGCATATGATTTTTCTTATGCTAGTTTCCATTATAGCAAAGTTTCATTGATATTTTGAGAAAAATGTTCTGGGAATAACTATTTTGCATTTTAGCTTTTTTAAAAAAAGAATGTTTTGAATACCAAAATTGTTCATACATTTTCATTAAACAAAACTAAGTCACAAATGAGATTTTCCTCTGTTTACGCCACTTTTAGACAATGATATACCCCTTTGTATTATATTATCTAAAATCATGTAATTGTGCTATCCTATTCAAAGTTTTTTTTTTGTTCCCTTAAAGAAAGGAGATGAGATCCACGATAGTTAGCAAGTGGCTATCACATTTTGTTTTCAGCATTCTTTACCATTTGTTTTGTTTTTTTGAAATATGAGAAGCTGCCGGTTAACCATCTGCTATAGTTTATGGCCCAAATCTCTGGTGATGGCATACATTGAGAACAGAAATGATGAAATAAATGTATAAGCAAACCTTTAAAAAAACTTGAAATTTTGGCTGATAGAATTTAATAAATGGGAGGTGACCAATTTTTTAAAAACAGTATGACATAATTCTTGATTTATATGATTTTTTTTGGGTGATTTTAGTACCTAAAACAGCACTGTTTCTAAGCCTCTTCTCATTCTTTTAGCTCGTCAAGGTGCTGTACAGGACCAGCCATACCAGCTGCCAGTGGAAATCGATCCTCTCATAGGTCTGTCACTTCCTTCTCTCTTTGCGATTCATTAAGCCCTGTATGGTGGCCCTGAAGTGTAGATTACGGTTGTTTTTCACTTGCTGGTTGCTGGGAATGGAATTTTCCTGATAAACCATTTGCATGCAAATTGGAATGAAATGAGCTGTGGCTATGCTGGTATTTCATCAACTCCCCCTCATTGGTTTGCCTAATTTGAACAGGCCTAGGACGTGTGTCAATGAAAATTAATATGAATGCCGTAATAATGTGTGATTGAGAATGCGCATGAAGTACTGTCAGGATAATATTGGGCCTTTTCATCACTCAGACTTGTTGATGAGCAAGAGCAAGGCATGTTATGATGAATTGGTGCACTAGTAATGCGATGGAGCTCTTTGCTGAGGAAATTTTCATAATAACAGTAGGGTTCTTAACGGCACTGTGTTGTGAAAAATAAAACTCTGGTGCCAGAATTTTATAATTACAGGAGATCAATCCTTTTTTCCACAGGCCTGCTGTTCAGGCTGATGGAATTAATGTGTAATTGCAGAGCAGTTCCTTCCAGAGTTGAAATAAATTGCTCAGTCATTTTGAGGTTAGGATATTAGTACTTTTTTTCTAAAGTATGGTTGACTTCGAGATCAGAACCAGGGAAGCAGGAAGATGATTTCTCAGCTAGATTAAACCTTGTAATACATTTGATTCACAAATATTGTATTATAGTGCTGTTGCTTAAATCACAAAGAAAAAAATGCACTAGATTATTTCTGAACCTTTATTTTTAGCATCAATGAATTTCATAAAATATATTCTGTAATGTATTTATCACAACCCTTGGAAAGCTTCATTAGATATTTATCAGATGAACTATAAACATTTTATATTTAATGTTTAAAGCATGGGACTGTTATTCTATTCAACCCTTATCATGGATGGCTGCAAGATTTATTTTTGGTATGAGCAAAATACAGGATATAATTTTACTTTGGAAATGTAATACAATAACACACCTATGCCTTTTTCTTTTATGTTTATTCCACATTAATATTCAACATGCAACTAATAGATTGGTTTCTAAGATTATGTCCCCTTGATAGAGGGAGGGAATCATGGAATGCAAAATTAGTTATTCATATTAGTACCTATTGAATAAATGGCACTTAAATTAGTAGATAAATATGCTAAATCTAAGGTCTGAAAAAGATATTACCCTAAACATATTAAGAATTATGTTGCATATAACTATTGATAACATTTAAGTTATAGCTAAAATTTATATCTGGAAGTAACACTTAAGCAGCTTGTTTTAGGATGTTTTACTTCTATTAATACTATAAATTATTGCAAATGATCTGAAAGTTGAAAGTTTTAAATGTTTAAATATAGGCCGTCCTCAACTTATGACCAGTCGGTTGGTGAATGCTTGAAGTAATGTGGACCCCCACCCCAAACATATCCATGACTCAGTTCTGAAGTTCTGATGGCCAGTGTCCCTGTGGTCATGTGATCACATTTCAAGCAGTCAGCAACCAGCCCACATTTACAATCGCTTGCATAGTCCAGCAGTCACATCACCACTGTCATGGTTCTGACAGATGAAACTCTTCAAAAGAACTTCGAGGCATTGTTTACCTTAAAGAATCTTTTATTCGAGAAACAAAGTATTGGTACTACATAGTTAAAGCCAAAAACTGAATTCCCCTCCCCTGGGCACAAAGTAGCAAAGCACAATTCCCTCCTCTAATTAACAGTCATAAATCACATTCCCCAATTAGCTTGAAGCGTGGGCTTTCTCCCCAGCTCTCCAGCCCGCCAAATCTTCATCAGCTCTGAGCGCAATAACCTTGGATTCCCACAGCTGAGTTATTATTGTTATGACTAGCTGGACTCTCATCCACATTCCCCCTCCCAGCATCAACTAACTCTAAAAGCAAAAGAGGAAAATGGCTGCATTTCCATCTGTTGTCAAAGCAAGAACATCCGATGTTAGCAGCATTGACAACCATAATTTATAATGCTTTTGCTGAACATGTCTAGGTTCATCTGATAAATGAAACATAGATGAAACCTAAGCTGATGTTATCCTTTAAATAACTACTATACCCAATTTCCACCCTATATTTATTATATTTATCTATACCATGTTTAATATATCTTACGATTACTGTATATATGCAATGATGCTGCAGTACATATACCACAGGTTTCCCTCTTCAAATAAAGCTCCTAGTGATCTACAATCTGTATAATGAATTAAATCATTAAGGGTTATATAACTGCATACAGGTAGTTCTCAAGGCATAACCCTAATGGAGCCTATCCATTTTTATGTCATTTTTTTACCACGATTGTTAAGCAAATTGATCAAATTGTTAAGTGAAAGAGAAAATCAGGCTTGCTGTTTTCTTTGGGTCGTTAAATGATTTCCACAATTGTTAAGTGAACCAGAGGCTGAAACCAATAAGAAACCATTTCCACAGGAAAAAGAGAAAATTGGCAGAGGAGGAAAAAGGCTTTTACTGTAGTGATGAGTTATTTTAAAGCACTAGAAACATTCACTGGTGACTAAAAGCAGTGCACAGAAGCTGCTTTTTAATTAAAAACAAAAACAGGTGATCTCAAAGCACACACAAATTAACACAGTAAGTGGAATGCAAAGGAACTTTTTGCAAGCAATCTCAAAACAATTGCAAATAAACACAATACAGTAGAATACAAAGGAACTGTACAGTACTGAATATGTTTTCTGTAGACATTTACTGTACTAGTATTTCTGCAAACAGTTCCAAGGCAAATACATACAAGCACAGTAATGAAAAAAACCTTATCTTTGAAAAGTATTTTAAAAAGTACAGCAATTTGTACTTCTTACAAACAATCCTTACAAACAACACAGTACAATAATAAAAAGAATATTTTAAAGTACTTACAAAGGCAACTACAGCACGTCAGGGTACTAACAGCAATGAAAGAAGCAACAAGGGGAGCAAGGAGATATTTACTCCTCTAGTCCTCTACATGGCAGCATTGAGGAGAAAAAATGCACCAGCTACAAAGTCTCCGGATCTTGATTGGTCATGTGACCAGGGATAAAAAAACAGGCACACCCATATGGGCCTTGTAACTTGCCCATCATAACTGCAGGCCACTTTTGGGTCCCAAAGGGCAGTCACAGGACTCAAAAGGGCCGCTGTTTCAGGAGTGATCGAATCCAGATCACATGACTGGACAAGTCTCTTGAGGATTGCAATTTTGAACCCCTGTTGTAAGTACACAGTGGTGAATTTTAACTTCAAATAGCCTTTAAACAGCCATTTGTACCTTGAGGACTACCTGTACTTTTTAAGCTTAAGCTGTATTAATGTATATTTACTAAAATTATAGTCTCTCTAATTTGTTTTGCTAGCTGAACTTGCACTAAAAATGAATTTTATCAGAGCCTTATGATTTATTTCTTGAAATAATCTGAGCACCTTGTATTAAAATTGGGCAAAAAGCAATGGAAATAAGGCTCCCAAGAATTAGAGGTTCAGATTCTGATTGATTTAAGATTGTTTGACAAGAAACTAAAACTTATTTTACAATTGGAGTAAACTATTATTTCTCTCTTGTCTTTTCATTTTCTCCTTTTTAGCTAGCAATACAGGTATGCACAGAAGGCAAATCACAGATCTTCTGGACCAAAGTATTCAAGTCCATTCCCAGTGCTTTGTTATCACTTCAGATAATCGCTATATCATGGTCTGTGGATTTTGGGATAAAAGTTTTCGGGTGTATTCTACTGATACAGGTGAGTTAATGTAATAGATTAATCTTTTTCTGAAACTTTTGAAAATGTTTAATTAAACTGTTAAAACATTGTTTTTGCACAATTTTTACAAGCCAGCAAAACTGACTACTGGTAGTGCTTGCCTTAAATTGGTCACTTAGCAACCATTCAAAGTTCTGAGGATCCCACAAAAGATACTTACTACCCAGTTTTAAAGTTCCTCTAGCTGGTCCCCACTGCAGTTATGTGACTGCATTTTGGCCACTTGTTAACCAGACCACTTATATAGCCTTTTGCAGTATCCCGTACTTACATGACTACGATTTTTGCTGAAAACCAGCGTTTACTTCTATTTCCAGCAAAAGTCACCATACAGTGGGTTCACTCAATGAGCACAGCACTTGTTTAACAATCATGGTGGTCACTTAATGTCTGCCACAAAAAGTCATAAAATGAGATTGATCATAGGATGACCTGCTTTACAACCATCACAACTTACAACTATAATTGTCAGGCTCAATTACAGTTGAGGACTAGCTATATTAATGAATTTTGTTTTTAATATTTAAAAAAGAAGGAATATCAAATTTTATATCCTTGCTGTAAAGTATATGAAAAACACTTGATTCTTCCAAAACATCTCTGTATCTTTACTTCTGTGATATTTTACCTCAGAGGAAACAAAAATACATCCATTATCTCTTTCTATCAGCCTATTATTTTCTGTCTTCAAGACATCAAATATTGCTTTTTGCTAACATTTTAATACCGGTTATATTGTCTGCCATACAATGGTACCTTTACTCCCTTCTTTTTGCATCATTCTGAAAGTTGTACCAAATGGAATATTTAGGTAGATCCTAGGGAGCATTGGATTTGCAGGACAAGAGAAAATTTGACTGGTTGAAGAAGGTCAAGGTTGGTTTTTTACCTTGGGTTCCCAAAGCAAACTCTACCTTCGATTTATTTTCCACTTTCTTGCTTCTTTAAAATACTGTACATAATTGCAGTGTATTCCTGATATTTTTCTTATTGTATTCCATACTACAAAATATAACATGAATGTAAGAACACAATGCACAATAGATTAAGTTGAAACTATTGTAATATTATTTAGATTATGATAATGACATGCATCCATTTTTATAAAATAAAACAAATATGTGAAGATCTAATATAGGGATAATATACACAAAAATCTACCACTTCCATGTTCTTTATTATTTTCATTCCTGCTTCCATCTGAACCACAAGAATAACATTTGTAAATAAATATTAAAAATATACATTGTGCTAAATAGTATAAAACTGCAGTTTCATCTCTAACATAATATAAAAATACTAAAACACAGTATTAAAAGTAAATTAAAATATGATAAAATATACTATTTAAAAAGACAAAGTCAGAGGGAGAAGGATTGATATTGATATTCCATAATGTTCATGTAAAGGAATCCTGCCATAGGGTACCTAGTAGATGTAATAGTAGATGACCCATGGATTATAGCAGGAAAATACTCCAGAGAGTGGTGTCACTGTGTAAAAGACCAACTCATTTAGAAAAAATAAATGACTCACTCTGCCAGTCTTGGAACATGTAGTGATATGTTAATTCAACAAACATTTTGGTATCAAGTTGATTAGAGGTTTGTTTGTCAGTTTGTCAGTAGCTATTTCATTTGTTTCAACAATATGTGGTCACTTTTCTCTTCTTAGTAAATTTGTCCCAAACTACACCAACTAAAGCTTCTGAGCTAAATTCAAGGAAAGGTCTATAGAGAGAAGATGATAATCCATATCTTGTAATTGCTAGTGTTTAGACTATCCCAGTCCATAAATTGATATAGTTAGTACATCATACTATACAAATAGTTTATTTATTTAATAAATAAATACAATTCCTACATTCTGGAGCTATTCACTCACACGTTTGTATGGTTGTTGTCCATATCAACCATTGTCTAATCCACACACTGTATCTCAACAATAGGTTTATGCTGGCCCTTTACCTTTCTCAATTACAGATCCATTCCTATATTTTCCATCTCCTGGATATCTTGGGTATCTGCATCGAAGTCCCACATTCTTTTTTCTTATTGCTGCAGTCATTTGGTCTTTTTAATATTTGCATCTGGCTTCTGCTTTTCTTCTTCAGAACAAGGCTATTAAGTTGCAATGTATGACTCATGATTTGATTCATTATATCACTGGTTCTCTCTCTCTCTCTCTCTCTCTCTCTCTCTCTCTCTCTCTCTCTCTCTCTCTCTCTCTCTCACACACACACACACACACACACACAAAGTAGTTTTTGCATAGAGTAAAAACAACACAAATTTTGAGTTAGAGATAGAAAAAATACAAATGTAAAAATATAAAAAAGATGTAGATAAGATATAGATGTACATAAGAAGGAAAAAGAAAAATACAATAAAATTATTAACTACTAACAGAAGTAATAAATTCATTTATATTTTGCCCCCTCTTTCTACAGTTACATGAAAATTTCCCACTTTTCATACTCTTCCCTTTCTAATCATGAAATCTATAAATCATAAGTACATTTTTGTTTCTTTTTTCAGGAAAAACGTTTTTTTTCTTTTTTCACAAAAAGTCTATAAGGACTGATTTCTAAGATACGTGTGTCATTTCACATCATATCTTCATCTTATTATTGTGATGTATTGATCCTGTCAGTACTAGGAATGGCTTTGACTGAAGGCCTTTTTCAGTGATTTTATTATACATGAAACTTGAAACATAATACAACTGTAGTTCCATACTAGTGCTCTTATGCTTACTATGATTCAGATCTGTTCTGGGAATTTAAACAGTTCAAATTACTATGGCTAGTAGCATCTAGAAACAAACAAATGTGTTCCATCTGTTCATTGTTTAACATGTAGTTCTGGAGCTGGTGTTCTGGCCACTACATCCTTCTTTTTGCAATCCATTTGGCTAGAGTAGAAACCACTTTAATTCATTCAGCTGCATTCATAGATTGCATGGCCTATTTGGAGCTCAAAACTGAACTTGTTCTGTTGCTTGTCATTTTATACTTATTTATTTATTTATTTATTTTATTTAAAAGGCATACAGTATATAGCTGCATATCTTATCACATGAACTCTGGGTAACCAGCATCCATTTAAAATCAACAGTAATACAGTACAAATAAATAAAATATTCATTTATTTATTGTGTAAAAGAAATAATAGAGGTCTTTAAGGCCGACAGAATTAGATCTGTTTGATTCTTGAAGGAAATGTTGTTCCATATAGCAGACACTACAACATAGAAGGCATACCGGTATTTCCTGGGCTCCATTGATTGACATATCCAGAGCATGGCACTAAGCATTCCTGCCTCTGCATCTGCCACTCTGGATCATGAAAACTGTTGCCTCCTTTGTCTAAGCAAACAGTATAGTTGAGAAATAAATTTCTGTAAAAGATAACTTAAGTTCTATTACATATTTTAAATGTGTAATAGAACACTTGTAGAAAGCTAAGGTAAATCATTAATATATAATGGAAAAGCAAAAGGATTTTTCATTATACGTTTCATTCTACATTTTGTTTTGAGTATTCAAAGAATATTTGGCTGAAAGGTTATCATTAATTATCTGTCCTGTTCCTGAGTTGTGAAAGGAAGGAAAAATATAGGATAAGATTATAAGAATAGTCTATAGCAAGTTGTTGCAAACATTTCAATTATATTTTAGTATTTATGTAAACTAATCTTATTATTGAGATTTCAAGTGAGAGCATTGTAACAGAAAATACCTTGAATATAAACTATGTATTCTGACAACAACTAGCAGAGCAGAATTGCAATTAGCTCTCTGATAATGGTGCATATTATTTTCAGATAGGTTTTTAAAGTCAATATTGCAAAAAATGGTGCTTTTTTTAAAAAAAAGGTATTGTAACTGTCAAAATATTAATGGGATCTGACTCCAGTATAAGTCATTTTCTATATTTTCTAACAAATATAAAATCAACACTTTAGAATTTTCAAAACAAACTTCAGAAATATTTGTTTCTACAGAGACTAACTTTCTCTGTGGCTTTCTCTATTTGCCCACACTTCACTGAATAAATAACATATTAATTATGCATTAAAAATAAGAAAATAAAAACAAGGAGTCTAGGTACTTCAGATACCATGAACTGAATGGCTGAATATGTATGAATACCTGTTAGGATACCACAGGAGCATCATGTAATATCTGTCTCAGCAGTAATTATTATCAGCTACTTTATAGGACTGCCATAAACCATGTTCCCCTCATTGTGAATAATATATGAATGGATTTTAAATGGACAAGGTACTTTGTAAATATTATTATTTCTTATCTGAATGATAGAAGAATGAAACAATAAAGGAAATTTACAGTTTTGCCATTACGTGTATGTAAAACTTTGTTTTCAATAGTCAGGAGTAGAAATCTGGCAAATAATTTGTGAGGTCCTTTTTGTAGTAATTGATTATCCTGTGCAATGGTTGACAATGCTAAACAAATATCAAGGCATATAACAATTGTGAGTTGGCTAAATAAACTAAATGATAGAAACAGATTCTTTTCTCAGAAGACAGACAGTGCCTTGACTTCCAGAACAACCAGGACCTTTTAATATTCTTTCCAACTCTAGAGAACATTGGAAATTAATTATGTAGTGAGGTTGGGACTCAATTCATCCATCAATATGAATCCTACAAGATGTGGTCTTACTATGAATGAAAAAATTGTATGTTTCAGGAAAACTAATGCAAGTTGTGTTTGGACATTGGGATGTTGTTACTTGCCTTGGCCGCTCTGAATCATATATTGGAGGAAACTGTTATATTCTATCCGGGTCTCGTGATGCCACACTGCTGCTATGGTACTGGAATGGTAAAACCAATAGCATTGGTGATAACACAAATGGTAAGGAGATCTTTATTCTGATTTTTATCTATGGCAAATCCTGCATCAAATACTGTTAAAGTTGAGGAATTGATAGACAAGGACAACATTGGAGTCAAATATGTGAGAAACATTTCCCAAGATTACAGGCACTATATTCTTATTCATTAGATGTAATTACTGCAAGTTATTCTACTGAACCTTATTTCCAGAGCAATTTTAATCTGTGATTGCAACCCATCCCCCTCCCCCCCAAAATCCCAACATTTGCAGAATCATAAAAACCATTTCATGCATGTAACATTTCATGGATCCAGGCATCTGTAATATCAGAATAGTATTCTAATATTTGGGTAAATTAATTTGGTTCTTTTTACATCCTTGAGATTGCAGAGCTGTTTTATGAACAGAGAAATAAAAAGAGTAAATTGGTTCAAATATAATTGTAATCTTTTTAGGTAAAATAGTATGTGCATTGATGTATGTATATGTATGAGAAATATAAGAAGACTAAGTTCTTTTAAAGGTTTAAAGTTGTTAAATTGATACTCACCGCCCTGAGTCCTACGGGAGAAGGGCGGTATATAAATTAAATTATTATTATTATTATTATTATTATTTCACTGAATACTGAAATCTTACTAAGTTATGAAGAAGTTTTGTGGACTTACCATATTTGGAATGAAACTAAATTATTTGGGTGGTTAGAAATGAAGAAATGTGTTTACTTTCTGACTTTAATCAGACAAAATGAAAAGATCAAGCAATATGATTATAGTAACTATCAGTAATGATATGTAACAAGTTTATATTGCTGTTATAAACTGACTTGCATATTACATATCAATTGTAATAACAAGTTTTTGTTTGGTTTTCTTTCATATTGGTTTGTATTTTGGCTTTTTTGTTTGGTTTTTCTTTTTTATACATTATAGTAATAAAATAAAAAAAGAAATTGATTTATAAAAATAATAATAATAATAACAACAACAACAACAACAATAATAATAATGATGCGCAAACAATGACATGACAATGTATCAGCAATGGTGCATTGGAATATCCGTAAGAAATACTACTTGCGCTTCAAGCAAGAACTGGTAAGACCACAAAAAAGGCAAAGTTATAGAAAATGAAGAAGCTAAAGTGCTTCAAACAGACAAGCATCTGCCACACAACACTCCAGATTTAACAATTGTTGATAAGAAAGACAAAAAAGTCTGCATAGTACACTTGCAATGCCTGAAGACAGGAAAATAGAAGGAAAGAACTGGAAAAAAATTACAAAATATATAATCCTGGAAATAGAAGAACAACAATTGTAACAAAAACAAGTAAAGATAGTAGCAATACCAATAGATGCCTTGGATGCAATTCCAAGGCATTTACAACAAAGTAAATGATAGGGCTGATAGATTGTTTTAAAGTAAAATAATACTTCTAGACAAGAAAATTATGTTTCACTTTGTCAGGAAATCAAATTACTCTGATCATTTGATAATGTTGAAGTATTAGTCAGCATGTATGTTTAGAAAGGTATATAGAGTACCAGTCATATTCCCTTTATGAACTCTTGAACATGCAAACTAGTTGTTTTATTAATCATGATGAATTTTTAAAAATATTTTCTTGAAAATAATTACAGTTTTGTCATTGTTTCGCAGAAGCCTTTAACTAGCATCCAGGCCTGTTTTTAAAGGCATTTTTGTTAACTATAACCAAGCATCTTAGAGTGACATCTGCTGGCATATATTTGAATCTCTGAAATGCAATCCTTGGCATAGTAATCCAGTGTGAAAATTTTGTTTCATAATATTGAAACTAAATCCTTCCCACTGCACTTCAGAAACATCCATTTTTCCAGTTTTGTTTTAACAGTTGTATGTCATTTTGTTAATATGTTCACTTGGGAAATACTTGCTTCCAGAAGGTCACTTGGATTCATTAAGTATAATTAGAAAAGATGAAATTCACTTCAGAGCCAGCTTGATTTTAGATACTTAGTTTTCATCATACAACAATTAAAATGGACTAATCAAACTGCCTTTGGATTACTCAGATGAGTAGCTATATATCATGCAGGCTATGGAGTTTCTTTTCTGGGAGTTTAAAGTTTCTGATTACAGGATATATTTATAGTTTTTGTGTCATGTTACACTTTTCTATCATGAATAATTTTGAGGGTTTGCTTTATAACTAGTTACAGAAACATTCAATGTCATGTATACAATATGAACAATGATATGCTTGATTGCTGCTGACTCCCCTATGGATTTCCCTCCGCTAGTTAGAATAACAGAATAACAGAGTTGGAAGGGACCTTGGAGGTCTTCTAGTCCAACCCCCAGCTTAGGCAGGAAACTCTATACCAGGCATGTCAAACTTGCGATGTCATGTGACGTTGCGTGACGCATCGGGACTTTTTCCCCATTGCCAGCAATGGGGTGGGCGCGGTTTCGTTGTGATGCATCCGGCCCATAGGCCGGCAGTTTGACATGCCTGCTCTATAGCATTTCAGACAAATGGTTGTCCAATCTCTTCTTTAAAACTTCCGGTGTTGGAGCACCCACAATCTTTGGAGGCAAGTCATTCCACTGATTAATTGTTCTAACTGTCAGGAAATTTCTCCTTAGTTCTAGGTTGCTTCTCTCCTTGATTAGTTTCCACCTATTGCTTCTTGTCCTGCTCTCAGGAAATTTGGAGAATAACTTGACTCCCTTTTCTTTGTGGCAATCCCTGAGATATTGGAACACTGGTATCATGTCGTCCTTCGTCCTTCTCTTCATTAGACTAGATATATCCAATTCCAGCAACCGTTCTTTATATGTTTTAGTCTCCAGTCCCCTAATCATCTTTGTTGCTCTTCTCTGCACTCTTTCTAGAGTCTCAACATCTTTTTTACATCATGGTGACCAAAACTGGATGCAGTGTTCCAAGTGTGCTCTTACAAAAGCACTATAAAGTGGTATTAACACTTCATGTGATCTTGATTCTATCTCTGTTAATGCAGCCTAGGACTAGGCATTGGCTGTTTTGCCAGTTGCAGCACACTGCTGGCTCATATTTAAGTGATTGCCACTAGGACTTCAAGATCCCTCTCACAGTTAGTACTATTGAGCCAGGTACCGCCTAAATGTAGAACCTTACTTTTTTCACCATTGAATTTCATTTGTGAAAAAAGTAAGGTTCTACATATAGTCATTGCATAGGGGTAGTGCTTATCTCCATTTCAAGTCCATCCATTTCTGTGGTTATGTGGCCAGTATGATGTCACAGAGCACTGTTATTTTCCCACCAAAGTGGTACCTATTTACCTACTCACATTTGCATGCTTTCAAACTGCTAGGTCGGCAGGAGCTGGGGCAAGGATGAGAGTTCATCCCATTGCATGGCGCTCTGGTGTTGAACCTGAGCTGATGATATTTTTTATATAGCACATAGCATAGAATATATAACACAATTGTCATAATAGAATTGTTCAATCATCTTGAATGCTTGTAATATACTGTATATGGCTTAGTTTCCATACATAATATTTTTTTCTGGTATCTTGTAAAATCAGTATCAACAAAATGAATGACAGCACAATCCAAACTTCTATAGTATTAATTCAGAATCAATTTGAAAAGAAGGGCTTTTGCCTTCTTTAATTTTCTGGCTTTCATGTTTATTCTCCACTCATATGAAATATTGTAGAGAAATTATGTAAAAAGGCTTGGGATTCCATATGTCTGTTCATTGATCTGTTTGTCTTCAGCAGAGTTGTTCCCTGGAAACAGAGCACAATAAAACCAAATTTAGTTCTGATAGATTAAGAAAAAAGATTGGTTTCAGAAACAACCTGGAACCAGCTAGGGGCTGTGGAGGTATCAAATTGAGAAAATAACCCTCAATGCATCCTATGGGAGAGGAAATGAAGCTGCATCTCAGAATGCTGCCTGTTTTCATTCAATCCCCCCTCCCTTGTGTTCATGTCTTCTCCAATGCCTATCTCCCAACAGGATCAAGCAAAAAAACAAGCAAAAACACTTACAGTCAACACATACACATCCCTCTGATTAGATCTTTACAGTCACACAAAAGACAATGCAGATGCTTCTTCCAGTGATGCTGTTAAAGGGGCTGTGAAGAATTTAAAACACCACGCTTACAGGGTCCTCCTATCTTGATTGTACATATAATTCTTGTTTGCCTACTAGATGTTCCACACTTGAGTGAGAATCTCAATAGATGCAATAGGTGCTAATTGTTCATCCCTCTTCTCCCACTGTGCTCACAAATATGTGTACTGGGTATTAACTTTATAGAGTGCTAGAATAGTAGTTGTGTTTCAGATTAGGTGCAGAACAGTTTTTCAATACTTCTGTGTTTAAGCTCGGCTACAAACTGAAACGAAACACATCAAATTCTAAAGAATGACCAGAATGCTTTAATGCTCCATGATGTAATCCAGATCTTTATGTTCCAGTTGTTTGTTGATTTATAACGAATGCTATGTTTTATTTTTACAAAGTGATATTCATATACTAAATTAATATGCATAATATATACCATATATATGGCATTGAGTTATAGACTTTTTATATTAGTTATTTATATTATTAATATGTTCATTCAGCCTAGAATACTTTTATGAAATTACTGGGTTAGAATAAAACAATAGAATTACAGTAATATAATACTGTAAGTTCCTGGTAACAATCTGACATGTTGTTGTGTGCATGCCTGCAACAATTTCTAAACCATGTATAGTTGTTCCTGATTGAAGAATTTTGTTCAGACTTAAATATTTAATAACTTTGTTTTACTCTGACAATCACTTTAGGTTTTTATGTGATGCATTTAAGTTTTGTTAATCTATTTTCTTTTAAGATAAGCATAATAAAGCAGCAGCCAGATGGCAGTGTAACAATTATAATTTGACAGTATAATTCATATTAAACATTAGAATGCTATACTGACTGAGACGTTTTTGTTCAGCTCTCAGCTGCTTGCCTAATTTATTTATTTATTTAGAATATTTATATGGATGCCCAACTCAACATAGGATTGTGGATGGCTAACAATATTTTTAAAAGATAAAAACAATATATAAAAATCATAAAATATACACCAGCCAGGAAAAAGAACATAAAATGTCAGTAACAGTGAACATAGCTACGAGATGGTTTCCGTCATGTACCTGGTCCCTAGGCAAAGCCAAGCCAAATCTTCAAGAGTTTATGGATGCACAAGGGGGGGCGGGGTTGAGGCCAATGAAACCTCCACAGGAATGATATTCCAGGGGGCTTGTGCTATGGCCGATAATTATTTAACTGTAAATTCTAAGTAGCCTAATTTTATTCATTTTAGGAAAGGTTCTTTTTTAAAAGAATTGATTATTTTGTAAAACAAAGAATGGAATGCAATTCCTACTGGAATTTATTGAAAGAAATGTTGCAATATACAGTATACAAGTCACTACTGTGAGTTCACTCAGTTACCTCTCAAAGAAATGCAGATTTTTTTTTTAAAAAAAAAATCCATTACAAAATCAGACCTGGGAGAAATAAATAAAAATAGTAATTTCTTCATAACAATGCAAATATTACACTCTCTTTTAGAGAACTCTTTTTAGAACTGAAAAACAGTTATATTTTATATACAAAGAAAAACGTTTCATTTCATTTTGTTAATCTTCCTGTAGATTTTCAGAAGGCTGAAAATTAACATAAGTTTAAGCCTTCCTTAAAGTAATCATAAACCTGTTTAGGGGACAAAGCCTCACTTCTTTGAAATCACTAGCCAAGGATTTCAAAGAAGACATAAAGCCACTTTGAAAAGTTTAAAGAAGTTTGAGATGACATCCCTTGAAACAGCTACAAAGTAAAACTTTCCCTTTGCTTTGGTGAAAACCATGACAATCTTATGAGGCAGTAAGAAATCTCTTCTATTTTGCCACCAACTTCTGAATTGAGCCCATTATTTGGAAACATCAGAAGCACGGAAGACTTAAGTACCTAACATTATTATCAAAGGAAGCAGGCTGACTTTTCTAAAGACTCATGTTTTATAATTAGAAGGAGGACCCTTCAATGAAAAAAATAACATAAGCTTTTAAATATATCACCTTCAAATCCAGCATTTCATTAATTAAAAATCATACATAATTTATTTCAATAGTCATATGTACCTACACTCATTACATATTTTAAAAGACAAACGTATTAGATTGAATACCTCTCAGAACATATTTGTGTGAAAGATCCTGCTGTCACAATGAAGTTGCTAGTTCAAATGTACAGTGACATATATATTACTATATATTTTATATATATAATTGCATCTATTATAACTATAGTTTAATAGCATATTACTGTGATTAGTAACATATTACTTGTATTGCTTTTGGCTTGTGTCTAATGTTAAGCTTTAAAACCATTTGAGTGACTGACTTTGAATATTTAGCATTTAAACATTTGATTTTATTATGTAATATTCTTCATAAATCTTTCAAATGCCACATGGGTCTAAGAATCCCAGAATAACTTATATTTCTTTGGATGAATAGATTATTACAACTTTTATTATAAACATGCACTACTCATCCTTTGTAAACATGAGTCTGATATACTTCAGACAAGTTCTATTGAAAGTCCTAATTCATGAAAGTGGTACTATTATATTCAAAGCCAACTCTAGATGTTTGGAATGGTACATGGAAAAATGCATATATATTATATCCAGTTTTCCAGAAATTGTAGTTTAACTACTTTTGACTAAATGAAGGACTGCAACTCACAATTTGATTTAAATGGAGAAAGAAAATTGCTTTTCAGTTTGCATATTAGGTATTGCACATTTGGGAAATATAAATCAAGGGTTGTGTTAAAATGCACAGCAAAGATGTTTATTATAAAATTTGTAGAAGTTACTAGAAACTGAAATGAAACATATATGCAAATACACCAAATATCAGTGCTATTACTGAAGCAATAGAATATTAAAATAATATCAGCTAAATTAACTGGCATCATTATTCAAGTTTCTATAGATTCAGTTTTAACGCCTTTTGAACAGATCATGTAAATTTATGCAAATTAAAAGAAATGCTGACGAGAATAGATCAGTGGATGCAATTTATCCATAAAATCCCATAAGCAGTACCTAATGTTCCCAAAATGCAGTGTAGGATAGAAGCTGCAGCAGCTTCTACGCTTTAGGATGATAATTTAATATAAAATTCTGAGCTTGACCATTGGGCTATGGTCCCAGTCAGTTGAGTTACATCTTGCATGGATAGTTGTTTTAATATACAAATGGAACTCCTTGCACTCTTGTTTGCTTTCTTGTGCTGAAAAGAGTTTTTTCTATATCTCTCCCATCTATAGTATGCCATGTGGAAGGATTGCTTTGATGAAAAACTGGTCTTGTGCACTTGTGATATTACTTTTTTTGGATTTTGAATGCGCTATAAAATATATTTTTACAAGGTATCTAGTGAGAACCAAATGCACAGAATAATTCCAGTTCAAATATTTCCTTTTTGTTATTTGGAATTGAATTATACATTTGCTTAATTGTGAAAGTTTTAAAATATATTAATTATAGATTACTAAGAAACTTCTGTTTTATTGATCTCCTTACAGGTGAAACTGCTGCTCCTCGGGCAGTCTTGACTGGACATGATTATGAGATTACCTGTGCCGCAATTTGTGCTGAACTTGGTGTAGTGATAAGTGGTTCTAAAGGTGCATTTTATGTTTTTTAAACCTTTTCTTGGAAATACTTATTTCTTATAATAATGAATCTAATCATGAAGATGCTTATACATTTAGAATATCAGCTTCCTACATCTGTGATTTCATTATGGATGAAAGGGCAGATCTTGGATGGCTGCTGAAAGTAGGGTTGTCCTCTGAGCTTGAGGTGTGGTATCAGCCAAGACCCAGGCGCAAGAGTGGTGGAGTGGATCTGGTCATACAGGACTCTCTGGTGGTATACAAGATGCTGCCCCAGTGGTGACTGGATATGAAACCCTGTTTGTTAAGTTTGTGTCCAAGGATCAAATGGGAGTGTTGCTTTTGTGCCAAGGAGATTGATGCTGTATAGCAACCTCCCTGGCAGAGCTGCTGGACTCCATGGCTGAGTTGGTGATGGAGTTCTCAAGGTTTCTGGTTTTGAAAGACTTTAATCTGTCTTCTCTGATCATTTTCATCCTTAGTTCTGGTGGGGTTGCACTACTGCATACAGAAATGTGTGCAATTTGAGTGTGTTCCAGAACTCAAGTCTCTTGTTCAGAAAGCAAATGGCAGCTGTAGCCAGGCAGGCCTTTGCATAGCTTTGTGTTCTGTGCCAATAGTTTTTATTTGTCCCATTAAGTTGGGCAGAAGGGGCATGGTCCAGTTCCATCAGTAAGAGATTATCATCTAGAGCACGGGTGTCAAACTTGATTGTGTCACGTGACGTATCGTGACTTTTTTGCCTTCCTGGAGCCAGGGTGGGTGTGGCCTGCATGTTGACGCATCCGGCCTACAGGCCGCCAGTTTGACACCTCTGATTAGAGGGACCCAAGTCCACAGCCTTTTCCATAGATCTGGCTTTCTTCTGTAACATTGTACTGCCTAAGGTACAGATGGCCCTGACTCTGCTCACCTTTCAGAAACTTTGAAGACATGTTTGTTTTCCCAGGCATGGGGACTGGGAAAGTAATTGAGCCCAAGCTGTTAGTATATAGCATTTTCAGGAACTACTTTCTCTTGGTTGGGAAATGTATTTTGTATATAGTGTATATATATTATATTTCTTAAACTTTGTTAGCCACCCAGTTTAATTTGTGAGATGGGAAACCACATAAATAGATTCAAATAAACAGACACATGCATGCTTGCTTCGTATAAATATTATGTGGTTTTTATGGCTTTTGAGGAAAAGCAGTAGGAGCAAAAAGGTTTGGTTAAACAAAGTCAAAGAATTGTTACAATCACTGCAGGAGCAACCTATTACCTTTCACATAACTTTGTGCTTCCCAGAAGCTCTAATAAGGCAATTCATGATTGATTCTGAAAATTGTTGTACAGCAACATCTGTTTGTCATCTGTACATCTACCAGTATCTGTTAATAACTATTAGATATTATTTAGAACTGAACATTAAAATCAGTTATTTTTATTTTAGTAAAGCCAAATCAACTTGGTATATTTAACCAGTTAATATTGAATATTTAATGGCTGTATTTTTTAACCTCCCTCATCAGAAGGACCATGTCTCATACATTCTATGAATGGGGATCTACTGAGGACTTTAGAAGCTCCTGAAAACTGTGTGAAAGCAAAACTTATCCAAGCATCAAGGGAGGGTCATTGTGTTATATACTATGACAATGGTCATTTTTGTGTATTCAGTGTGAATGGAAAACTACACTCCACTATGGAAACAGATGATAATATCAGGGTGAGTATCTTATATTAAAGTCTTATTTTTAAATCTAGGTCCTTTAAAATATATCTCACTCTGCTATATTGTATTTGATAATTATTGAATACTTGTATAATTTATAAATTATTTAATGTCACATATGAAATAACTGTAGTATCTTCATCAGTAGTAACAGACATTAATTTGGAAGTTAATTTTTAGCATGTTCATAATTCAAAATAGAAACAATGTTTTACTGAACAATATAGCGCACACCATACTTGGCCATACTTGGCTTGAATAGTATATTGGGGCTGCTCTGCAAAAAATGGCTACAGGCAAAAAGAAAATTCAATTCGATTTAATTTAAATTGAATTGAATGAATGACATTATTATATTTGCATATTAAATAATGTTCTATCTTTTTTAGAAATTATAATTTCATAGCAACTTTTAGAGTTATACTGTATTGCACCCAAAGCTCAGGAAGACATAGTTATATATACAGTGCCCATCACTATGGAAGAGCCCAGTATCTACACATAAACTATATCCTCATTTCAAAATAACATTTTATTATTTTTTTATTCGTTTGATTCTTGTCAGAGAATGGATTCATCTTACATAGCCTTCTGGTTTCACAAAATACTGGACATGGGATGTACACACAAATCTTATTCTCTCTATAGTACAAGGTATTATTAATTCAGTTTGGTCTGGTTGTTAACAAGGGTAGTCAAAATTTAACAGAAACAACAGAGAAAGTGAATAGGGAAAGATAGTTGTGTGGGCAAAGCAACATCAAATGAGAAACATATCTGGTTCCTGAATGATTGCACTTAGACAAGTGCTTGATATCAACTGGGGCTCCAGATATACTTAGGAATTGGAAAAAGTAACCCACTGCTCTTTTCTGCTGCTTTTGTTCACCATGGAACAAAGCCACATTAGAACTATTATTTGTTGAGCTTCTTCAGTGGAGATCAGATTAGGGTGCTACTATTGCAACTGTGGTGGAATATGAGAAACCCCTGGAGGATTCATGCAGAAAAGAAAAATGGCGATAGTCTGAATGCCCTAAGTGTGGGAAACACTGAGCGTTTTGGGCCCTCAACAATGAAGGAAATCCATCTTTAACATTCAATGTTACTTAGTTTCCTGGGAATAAATCCACCAGAACCCTTATTTTGAGGTGATTTGCATGGACCCTTTGCCTCACAGAATCCTATTGTTAGTTGATTGTTAGAAGTCATTGTTGCTCAATTTAGATAATATATTTGCTGTATTTTGCAACTGTACCTGTTCAAATTGGGGAAGATAAGAAAAAGAGGGTTGGGATATTGTAGGCATGTTCTTATTATATGCACTTAGATCATTACCAGCTATATTAAAAAAATAGGTTTTTACCTTCCTTCACCATTCATATTCAAGTATTTATATGTATCTTATCCTAATTCTTCAGTGTAGTGATTTTGTTTTATATTTCCTACAGTAAAAATGCTGATAGCCGCTTTCTGTTGTGATAATGTTGTCAGCTAAATCAGTAAATCTATAAAACATCCTGATATTTTTTGCTTGGTAAAACAATTTCTGCAGTGTTGTCACTTGCAAGGCCATTTTTTATGCAATGGAAATTATCTATCCAGGCCAGTGGTATATACAATCCCATGCTATTATTTTTTCCAAACAGTCCCAGATGAGTTACTCTCAAACAATTCATGGTGTTTTCCCCAGAGCTTCTGTATTTTATCATTTTGTAAGCGAAGTGGTAACTGAAAGATTAAAACAACTGTGTTCAAAATGTCTCTGCCCAAGGCACTAGAGTCCAGCAGCTTCACAGTTTGTATTATAAAATGTAGTATATGGAGCAAAAAAAATATTTCTTGTTGAAATTTCAGAATACTTTCTTACATCCATGCAAGTTTGGTTTGCAGAATGTTGAAAAGGCTGAAAATTCCAGTTGTTTTATTTAATCTCCTAACTATCTTGTACACAAGTACAAGAAATGCTACCAAAAAAACTTTAGGCCGTCTGGATATACTCAGAGCATAATCAAAGCTTTCCACCTGTTTTTGTTTTAAATATTGCATTTCTCAGTAGAACTTTGGCTAACAGAATATCACAGCAGATCTGCTTTACAGTGTTTAGATATCTTAATGAGTAACTTAAATCTAAGTTGGCAGGCAGTCCAAAGAACTAAAGTTATTCTACCCTAAACAAGGCCAACGTGCTATTTCACCCAACGGAACCAATTTATTTTTCTTTCCTGAGTCTGTTTGGAAAAGTCAAGTATCTTACAGTCTCCTGCTGCTTTATACCAATATTGTCAGGCTGACAGGTCTGGGTTTTTTTGTTTTTTTTGTAAATAATGGTCTTTCAAAAATCTGAATTTTGAGACTCTTCAATGAAGTGTGAACTAGAAACCACACAATATTAAGAATGTCTTAAACTATGTTTTGAAGCCCCTTGTATCTGAAATAGTAAAATTCCTAATACTTTTTATATTAAGACAAATTATTCTTATATTTAAACCTTCTGCTATCCCATTTGAGAAATACCATTTTTTAATTTGCTAATTGTTGAAGCTAAATGTTGAAGGCATGCTATACAAGTGAAATTCTGATGTTTAAGTACATTCTTTCTATTCAGTTTCCATTCACAATTAGATAGGTCAGTGAAATTCTACATTTATTAGTAAAGTCCAAATCCCATTATTTTTATTCCTGAAATACACCGAGTTCACTGATAGATGAATTAAAGATTAATGGCTTTAATTTAGCTTTTAATATACCATAAATAAAAAGCCTCCAGTATAAGACTCAATTGAACCATAACCATGGGGTTAATAGATTTTCATCAGCTTAATTTTATATAACTGTAGCAAATAATTATTTGTCATGGTCTTCACTGCAATTTAAAAAATAGCCTTAGGAGATAACCATTTGTGAAACAAGGAAAAGAAAGGTATTGATTTCAGTTATAATGAATGATCTTACAAATAATTATACTTACTTTGTTAGCTAGTATGAATCTTGCATTTTTTTAAACAACATATTAGGTTTGTCATGTTTCCATCTGCAGTCATTTATGTACAAGCAATGTACTCAATATTCTTCCGCTTATTGCTAGGCATCTCAGTGTAGCAAATATGTGTGTGTGTGTTGCTCTGTAAAATTCCTAGCATATACTTTGAGTCTTGTAATATAACAACAACTATGACATGAAATTTGGATATACGCACATTTGAAAAGATAATTCAATTATTGATAAATTAATAAAAGAGCAGATGGATTAGAAATGTTACCATGGCAAAATGTTCTATATGGCAGACGTATGCCTAAAGAGCATTTCTTATGCTGTCTCGGTGATTGTCTCATTGCATTGACATGGATATGAGGCTGGTAAGACCCCATCCTAGGCTCAAAACAGTCATGCTGCATGCCTTGTAGTGAAGAGTCAATAAAAGAATACAGCTGTGTGAACTGGTTTTCAAACCATGCTTTGATTTGGGATTGAAAGGTTGCATGAATTTCTAAATCCTTGTATGTAAAAAATAGAAATTATGACACAATCTTGCTTTTAGATGAAGTAAAACAGGAGTTATTGTCATTATCTCTGTCTTCAAACAACCATGCTTATATACAGACCTATTTAAAAGATCATTAGCAATAGTAGCCAGCATCAGTCTATAAAAAGCATATATTCCTTTTTTCTTAGGGTAACATGTATAATAAATAAAATTCAGAAGAGTGGGATAATGCATTTTATAGCAAGTGTGCTTGTAACCTATCATTATGGCTCATTAGAGAATTAATACCCTAGAATCCAAGTAGCCCTAGTTCCCACTATATTGATGTTTTACATTCAAAAATAATGATTAAAATATGTGTTTATTTAACCTCTCTTTTCTATAGATCCCACCCTCGTAAAAAGTAACCTGGTCTTATGATAAGTAATAGCAATTGAGGAATAGAAAGTTAATGTGAAAATTGTTTCATTATTTAAAGTTACTTTCCTTGTTCTAGGCAATCCAACTGAGCCGTGATGGGCAGTATCTCCTAACAGGAGGAGACAATGGAGTTGTTATGGTTTGGCAAGTGTATGACTTCAAGCAGCTTTTTGCCTATCCTGGTTGTGATGCTGGAATCCGATCGATGACTCTTTCATATGACCAAAGGTGAGAGAGATCTGAATGTTAATTGCCCCTTCCATTTTGTCTTGTACTTTTATATTGATAGCAGAACTTGAAGCACTGAAAATCATATATTTCATATAAGATTTTTTCAAATATAGAGCTGTTAACACGCACAAATCAATGATTCAAAACAGCATGTTTATTTTATAGTTGTTCCCATCCACTGGCTCTTTTGAAAGTGAACAAATTCCTACTTCAAAATAGCCAAATTGGGTGGGGGGGGGGAAGTGGAAAGATTTGAGAATAAAAGGATTCTATGCTCTTTTAATCCCATTCTTTGCTTCTCAACTGGACTTGCTATATGTAATTAGACATTTCTGACCACACTAGTTTTGGATGAGACATTTAAACAAGTCCCAACTTGGGCAACTTTTTTTGCAGTGAAAAATATGTAGCTGATGGAATGAAAAGAAATATTAAGTCTCAAAACGTTTGTTTGAGTTTTCAAACACAACTTTATCTATGGTTTAACTTAATCTTCATAAAGCTATGTATAGTTAAGTGTTACTTCAGCATAATGATTTGGTGGTATTTTTTTCTCCATATTTTTTCCTTCACAGGTGTATAATGACAGGCATGGCTTCTGGCAGCATAGTGGTTTTCTACAATGATTTCAACAGGTGGCATCATGAATACCAAACCAGATATTGAAAAATGGATTAAATTGATGTGGCCGTGCAGCTCTTCTCATATGGAGACTTCAAACATACACATCTCTCTTTACTATCTTGTCTATTCTAGATCTTATAAATAGTTAATATATCTGAATGTAACTTAAATTTGCTGGGAGATGCTATTTTTTGAAGCTAATTGCTATTTTTGTAGACTTTGCTTGACTTTTTGGGATGGGGAAAAAACAGAAGATGATTGTTGGGGGTTCTGTAGCTTATAAAGAAAATCTATATTTTTTAGTCATAGTAAATCTATTTTGATCATTATACTGGGGGGGGAGACTGTAATAGGATGGCTATAATTCTTGTATTAGCTATATTATGAAACATGTTTCTCATGTAAATCTTTATAATCTTATGGAATATTTGATTTTAACAATGGAAATTGTTATAACAAAGGAAGTTGGTTATAATACCAGCAATCAGTTATAATACTGACATTTTAAACTGTGCTTATCCCTCCCTTCCCTTTTGTCTTGTACTTTTACAGTGATAGCAAACTTGAAGCACTGACTTTTCTGAAAATCAAGAATACTTAAATTATGTAATGTAATTTTGTTTTCACATGATCGTGAAATCAAGCGTGATTCTAGATTTAGGTGATTAGTATGCCTTTTAAATTATTAATTTGTTATTTTGTTGTGTGGTTAAGAGAGAAATAATCATAAGCAGAATTTATACATCAAGCATATTTTTCTTATCCTTTCATCAGGCCCAATGTTCTTCCAAATTAAGATCTATTTTGAGGATTTTGGAAGTATTCTATTGTCTACTATACTTTTTGAAACTATGTGTGGATCCAAAAAAAACACTTGTGCTGAAGATCTGCAATTTTCCTTTAGCACCTAAAATGGAAAAAGCTATTGTGTCTCTACAACACAACTAGTGAGAACTGTATAGCACAAGCCTTATATTGATCTAAAATCAAGACATGTTCCCATCAAATCTGATTCAATCATGCTGACAATCTGTCTTCAAGCTCTTGGGAAACTAAATAAAATTTATTATGAACAATGTTATTTTGGTGTTGCATAAATTCTACTAAATATATGATTGCTGTGCAGAATTCTGTGAATATAGTTGTTAAAAGTATTGTTTTTAGTATGCACTGCAAAATTATTTCTTGATAAGTTGTGGTTTAAGATTTGAAATTTACATTTCTCTGTCTTTGTTGGTATATAATTTCTTCAACTAATTATTTGAAGCAATTTTAATGTTTTTTCCTAATATTCAAATAGCCCTTCTTTATATGAGCATCAGAAAGGGGAAAACTCAGTTTGAAACAAGATATTAAATAAAAAAGGCATTTGTATTTTAATGCTTCATTTATTACAACAGGAACATAAGAAACAATGCAGAACTCTGAAAACAAAATGATTGTAAATCTTGTCTTTTTAATAGGAAATTTTGGTTATAGTTACTGCTGCATGTATCAAACATTTTCAGAGAACACAGCAAATGCCAAATGTGTATTTATTGCTACACTTCTGTTAGCACAGACCTAACACCATCTACAAATTTAGCTTCTATATATGTAATGGATGATGGTTGTGGCCTTGAACTTTGCAAGTATAATCAAACTCTCCTCTTCCAAGTCAAACAAAAGCTTTATTGAATATACTCAGATAATAGTTGACCAAACCAGAAGACCGGCTGTGCTTATATTGTTAAGATACATGATAGTTTAAAAACCCTGAGCACAGTTGAATTACAATGTTATATTTTTTTAAAAAGGACTGTCTTCCAATGATATAGGAAACATCTAAAAATTAATCACCAAAATCCAGAACAAAAAGTAACCTTTGCTCCTAAACTCTTCCTTCCTTCTCAATTTTGAATTCAAACATCTGTAGTCACATGTCCAACTTAACATTGTTGTTCATTTCTTTTTGTGCTCTGTGTAAAACCAAGGCACTGTTTAGATTTGATTAGGAAAAGAAGAAGATTCAACCCTCTATTCTTCTATGCATTCTACTAAAGGTCCAGTCAACTGTCTATATGTGTATGCTATATGTGTTTCATGGAGGGCTTGATGTGATATGTCTGTTCTTTGGTTTTCCTTGTGCTTAGAACAGATGTGTCCTTGCTTTGCTTTTGTTTCTTGAATGGGATGTGGTTTTGATTTGAGACAGGAGAGTTTTATTGGGTAATTTCTTGTGCCACTGTAATCTTTCGGATGCCAAAATATATTCATACAAAGAAAGACTACAAACCCAAGAATATTTTTCATTTGTTATATCAGAAAAGCATAGCCAACGTATGAGGTACTGGATGGTTTTTCACCAGGAACATTCTATCATTAATATTTGACCACATGGCCAGTGAGCTGATGAAAGGGTTTTTTTTAAAAAAAAAACTTTTTTATATAAAGCAATTAGAACATAAACATTTATCATCCTAGTAAAATGGGAAAAGGGTACAATTATTTGAACACTGACTTCAAAGTATACTGGATATGGACCACCAAATTTTAAACAATTGGAACCCCTAAGATGGAGGAAAAGAAATTAAATTTGTCACTACATGTTGAGTATTATGCTAAAAATAAAAATAAAAAGCTAGAAATCATAGGCATTAAATTATGCTAATATAGTGCCATTCTTTCTACCTAGATTACATTGTGTACAGTTGACTGATTAATCTCAAAGTTATTCAAAACTAAGCTCCTGAAGCACAGGCACAATATATTCCTGATTTTGTTTATGTTAACTGAAAACTGAGTACTTAAATCTGAAGTTTCAGGATTGCAGTCTGAATTGATTAGACTGAAGACTGAAGTTGATTTTGACAATATAGTAGGCAGGGTTAGTGGGAACATTGCCACAATTCAACACTGAAATTGTGTCCTATTTCCCACAGTCTGAAATCAATAATGTTGAGTAATACTGGCTTCATAGGGATTATTGAAATCAAGAATATAAAAGAGGTAGTTCTTTTTTCTTTACTACAGAATAAGAACAGGAGCCAGTATTAATAAGCAGAAACAATACTGGTCTGAACTGATAAATAATCTAAATGGGTAAAATAAGTAGGGAGGAGGAGAAGAAAAGGAAGGGGATAGCATGGAAATTTCAGAAAGCATAATTTGGGAAAGTAATTTAGGATCCATTATACTTGCTGAAATATAGCTTCAGCAAAACAGGTTACTTATGAACAAATCATTATACGACTAATACGTCAAACTTGGAAGCTTCGAGGGGAATTTCATGTGGGACTCAGGGAGATGCAAAAATTGTTTCTTTTAAAATGTAATATTTAAATATTTGGACATGAAATATTTGAAAAATATTGTTTGGATTGATTTTTTTCTTTTAATAACTTTTGTGTAGCTCTGCATAAATCTTTATAGAAAGTTTTAGAAGAGTATGCATAATATTTATAGAAGCAAACAGAACACCTGAAATACTGCAGAAAGAAATTGTTTAAAATTATGCGTAACAACTATTTTCACATTAGACTTGGTTAATGTGTGCTACTCCCTGGTAACTTTGCGGTCCAATTTTCATACAAGAGTTACATCAGGGAAAGGGATTAATATATTTAATTCACATTAAAAGTGCCCACAGCAAAATTAAGACTATACTAAGTATGCTATCATACCTAAAATAAATAAAATCTCTTAGCTGTTATTCTGATTTAAACATAAGCAAATACTAAGGTGAAGACAGCCTTAGGTGTAAAACAAAATAATGTCTGGAAATAACTGAATGACACAACAATTGTATACCTATACTCAGTAGAAAGGTTTCTATTGTAATAATACACACCTGAAACATAAAAGAAAAATCAGCCTGATCCTATTAAATAAAATTATGTTATCAAATTTGAGAACATAATGTGTACCCAGAATGGAAGGGAAATCAAGGTAATTAGAAATCCTGGACTTGCTTTATAAGTTCTCAAAAAAAAAATTACTACTTACTCTTTTGAAGAAAAATGTTTATTGCAGTTCTTAGTTCTAATGTAAAGAGCTAATAGAAAATGATTTAAAGTTGTTAGAAAGAAAAAAGAAAACAAGCAGAGAACATACAATATTGAAACAAGCATTAATATACAACTCCATCTACCCTTCACTGCACATTTAGCATTATAGTTCCCCAAACATTTGATGACTTTCTTTAAGAGTGGGCTAATTAAAAAAATACAATGCTGACAGCATTCGGTGTTGGTGACTAGTAGTTCATTTATTACACTAGCTTGCTATAAATATACTGCTCTTTTTTTAGATAATGCACCATGCAGCAAGCTTTCTGTTCCAAGAAAAAAAACACCTGGTCATTCATGACAGGAAAAGAGAAGCAGGAAACAACCTGCAAAATCTTTACTAATCTTCAAAACACTCACACTCATTCATAAATGGAGTTGGTTGCAAAATGATTGTCAATGATTGAGTTATTCTATATTAAATTCCACAAGGTTTAAATTTATGTTTCTTATCTATGTGATCACTTAGAGTCAACACCAACTTGATGCTACTTAATCAAAAAGTTTTATGTCAAAAATAAGTGTGCTATCCATTCACACCATTATTGAAACCTCCACAACTTGACTTTCAATATAGTACAAATTGCCACTGGGAATAATGTTGCTTCTCTCCAGGACCATTTTAGATCTGCATTTTTAAATTAAAGAAATGAGTTCCGCTACCTTTTAGTCTAGCATTTCTTTTAGAAAAATCTAGACTTTGTTGGATGAGGCTCCTTAATAGTTATACCTATTTAAAGTTTGTATATCCAAGTATGAGAAGATAAATTCATTTGTATGTTTGAAATTATACTGAACACAAATTCATTTAAAAACATAAGAATTCCCAAATGTAATAGGTAGAGTATTAAAATCTACTGTACATACAACCTGCATCCCTTTTAGACATATGAAAAAAATACAGTAGCAAGGGTAAGAGAGCAGAAGCTGACCTAGCTGTGGATTTCATTAGAACTTCTCTTAAATTAATCCTGCAGGCTCATGACATGCTGATTCAAGGTAGGAAGAAAGTCTGAGTAGCTGAGAAGCAGCAAGAGAAGACAACTTGTAATCAGTTGTAGAAGGCTGAGGAGCAGGATTTATCTTGGTGATTTACTTCACATCAGCTTGACCTGGGATTTGACAGCGCTTGTTGCAAAATATCTGATTTTCTTTATCTAGAGCCGTGTTCTAAAATATAATTTTTTAGAAAAAGATAAATCACATCACTGACAAGTATTATATGTACATATAATAGTATTTTTAAAAATGATACATGCACAGTCTGAAGAAAAGGAAAAGTAACTTCTAAGATCTTTTTCAAAAGTGTGAGATGTTTGGAAAGTGGTTTCTCACACACACAACCTTAGTAATAAGAACTGCATGCCCAGATTGGGCATGCTGCAGAACCCATCAGCCAAAGAATGTTGATTGGAGGAAAGTAGAAGACAGATTTTTTTTCCCTGCTGCAGTCCCTTCCTTAGGGAATATTTTTCTCTGAGATTAGAATAGCCCAAACCCTGTTGGCTTTTCACAAAGCTTTAAAAATTTGGCTATGTATCTGGGCCTGGGGCTTGGATTGTGTGAAGGGTCCTGTTACTTGGCCTTGATGTTAGTTAGTTATCACACCCACTGTTTATACTTATTTATTTTGTGGATGTTTTTTTAAGTTATTACATTTTAAAAAATTATTTTAATTGTTTCATAATTTTAGACTTATAAGCCGCATAGAGTCACTTGATTGAGTTGGGTAGTTTCAGCAATTGAATAAATAAATAAATGAACAAATCTCCCAAAAAAGCATGGACTTGGCCATGTAGTCACTGTATGTCAAGGTGGACCTAAAGAGACAGGTATTTAGAACACTGTCACTTAGAATGTAAGACTGCTAAATGGAAAAGTTATCCATAAAACAAACAAATGAAAAAAAATGTGAGTTATGCATTTGTGGAACTAAAACAAACAACCCTCTTTGGGGATATGAACGGACAGATGGATATAAAATAAAAAGTGATTTGGCTATTTGAATATCCAAGAATGAATGAGAATTGAGACTTAAAAGTACATGCTTATTAAATGGTTTGTTTGTTTCAAAGACATAATTCAATTGTATGTCTATCAATGTGGCAGAGGAATAAATATATATTCAAAAGCATGATTAATATAATTATGAAGAAAGACTGAGAATCAAAGAAGGATATACCACATATGAGAAATTCAGGATATGGAACAGATTCGCCACTTTCATGGGCACAAGCTGTGTGAATTTCCACAGAATGAATCGAGAACTGAAATGGGGCAGAGGACATGGATATTACTTTCAACAATTAGGATTACCACTGAAAAGCAGTCAGTAAGGCAATGGGAACGTGAAAAAAGTTACTTGGTGGAATAATGACATGCAAGAGGATGCAAAAGGATAAAAAGCAAATGCATTTAAGAGAATAATTGCTGAAAAAATAAAATTCACTGTCATATAATGATTATGTGTCATATAATGTGTACATATATAGAAAAAAAATAAAAGATTGTGGTCAGAGTATAACAGATAAAAAGCAGAACAATTTCAAAAGAAAGAAAAAATACTTTGGAAATAGTGAAAAGGATTAAACAGGGAGCCTTCAGAAGTATGCTATAAATAGTTTGAATTCTTTCCAAGGAAAGGAAGTTATTTTATAAGTGAATAAAAATGATAAGGTTGCAGGTGTGGACATTATGACTGGATAAATGTTAAAATATGGATATTTATCTGTTCGGGAAAAGGTTGTATGAATCTTTTAACATACATATGCCAGATGGTTGGAAGAATGTGGTTAGTGTTTCCCGACATAAAGGGAAAGGGATGATGATGATCAAAAGATGATGAAGTTATATAGTTGGTAATGAAATGTCTACAAGCAAACAAGCTTAGACAGCACCAAGGACAGTAACAAGAGCGAATGGAAAATTTACATAGTATTTAGTTCAATGTGCTTCTTAAGATTTTGGGAAAAATTCTGATTGAAAGGGTGAAATTTAATCTGTCAATGGGTGACTGCAGTGCATCTTTCTACTAGACACAGCATGTGTAGACCAGGTATTTTGTCCTTCAGAAAATCATTATCAATGTATGGATGTAAGAAAAAAAGAAAGTATATTGTACAATGGTTGATTTCAGGTAACTGTACAATAAAAGTGAATAGACTTGGATTATGGAATGTTTTAAGCAAGTACTATAGAGGTTTGTTGCTGAATGTGGGATGTGATGGAATAAAGCATGGATGAGAATAAATGGTACACTTACAGAATGGCTCAGTATTTTAACAGACAAATTATAGCAATAGCATTTAGACTTATACACCGCTCCATAGTGTTTTACAGCCCTCTCTGAACAGTTTACAATCTCAGCATATTGCTTCCAACAATCCTCATTTTACCGATCTAGAAAGGAAGGAGGGCTGATTCAACCTTCAGCCGGTCAGGGTCAAACTCCAGGCTATGGGCAGAGTTAGCCTGCAGTACTGCATTCTAACCACTATGCCACCAGGGTTATGATGGTACTATTGAGATTTGTTGGTTGGGAATGTAATGTGCATGCACTGGTTATGAAAATGGTCCCATGAACCTGAATGGTTTACAGGAAATGTTACATAAGCCATAATGTCACAGGAGCCAAAATCAATATTCCAAAGTCCAATGTAAATTGTATTTGACAAGGAAAAAATGGACCGAACAATTATGACATAAATAATGGTGAAAATGTATGAATTTGTGTACTTTGATAGAATCTTTGTTGCAAATGGGGAAATGTTGAATTGCAAGTGATGATAAGGAAGATAATAGGTAGCATCCAGTATGGAAGTAATGAATGCTTTTTGGAAGAAGCAAAAATCAATATATAGAAAAATATGTCTCTCCCTACTCTATTATGCAGAACTGAAAGATAAGATATGATTCTTCTATCATAAAATTTAAACAACCCATTATAGGTTCTTCAAATAATATAACTTGTTGATGTTACTACTCTGATTTTTCTCTATTGTGCTTGATATTTTTGAAAAATAAAAATCTAACAATGAACTGTAATTAGTTTTATAATTAGAGTCATGAATACCTAATATGAATTTATTTGTTTAACATGAAGTAAGCCGTGACTCAAGCTAGCACATGGCAACAAACTGAACTAAGCTTTTACAAAAAATTAACTGAAGGAGAAATTTTACTTCATAATGATTCACTGGTAATAATAACTTTCATAGCAGGTGTAAGATTTTGGGCTTTATTTCAGATAGACCAAGAGCATTTGGCTGTCATAATTAAATATTTAGAAGTTTTTTTTCCTGATACACTTTTTGTATGAGCAGATCCAGAACCACGATGTGGGAAAATATTAAAAATCCAAACACTGCTCAGGTAATATACACCAAGCTAAGCAATGCAGCACCCACAAGGTTCTCACTCATTTCCAGATTTAAAAATAAAAATAAAAATTTGTGAGTTAACTCATAAATAATGTCTAAAAAAACGTAACTCTTTTTTTCTTAAAATTGGCACCGAGGATGTTGTGCAAAATAGTTATTATAGCCAATGATTGGGAATATTGTTTTGACCATATAGACTGAGCTTGTGGTCAGTTGCTGGCTGCTTTAGGAATATGATTACAGAAATACAAATCCATGAGAATATATAGAAGTTGATTATCAGAAATTAGCCAAGGAAATGCTTTCAAGCAATTTCAGAATTATATCTGTCCTATTTTGCAAAAGGAGGAAGAGGAGGAGGAAGAAAAAAAAAGAAGGAAGAAAAAGAAAGAGGGAAAGCCCAAGGGTTGTTTTTTTTTTTTTTTGCTTTTCAAATCTGTAAAAATATAAAACATCATGCAGCGATATTGAAATGGTTGAATGGTGCAAATATATCAATGCAATGAAAGCTTGTTGCATGATTGTACTGCATAACTTGACATAACTTTTTTGTCCAAGACTGTTACAAGGTTACTTCTCCTTTTCTTTCAAACTAAGAGTCTTTTTTTTAATTGTGGCAAAGAAGCACTGTAATTAGTACATACCATTGCCTTGGACCTATTCAGAGGAAAGCAGCGCAGGCATTGGGAGAAGAAGCAAAAGAAGGAAGCAACGGACAGACACTAGACTTACTGGAAGCAGAACCAATAGCATTGCAACATTTATAAATGTAAATAAATCATTTCAATATTCAAAAAGCAGCACTGAAACCTTCCTTATATGACCTTTATAAGAACCAAAAGAAAATTGCAAGCCATTCCTAAAAATGTCTTTCTTTCCTACTTCTATTAAATAACTGTTTTTGAGCGCAATTTTTTGCTGAACAAAAAATTTCCCCAGGGCTACTTATGAACCAGATTCAAAATTGTTGCCCCTCCCCCTGGTCACATGATCATATTTGGGGTGTTTAGCAATTGGCCTGAAATTGTGACCATTTGCAGCATCACTCAACCACATGATTATGATTTACAACATTTTTTGCTGGAAACCAGCATTTACTTCCAGTTTCAGCAAAAGAGCCTAATCCAGAAAATGGATTCACTTAACAATCATGGCATTGTCTTAACCACAACGAAGGTGATAAAATTGGGCAACGTTGACTAGCTTAACAACTGGGTCAATTATGATCGTAAGTCAAGGACTACCTGTATTCATATTCTCCTAAGTCTCAAATTGCTTAGTGTACTTTGATTCAAAACATACTATAATTTAGTTCCTGGGATAATAGCCTTTACCAGCAGGGAGAAGATAAGGAAGGATAAATGGAAGTTAAAATTACAAGTGTGCTTCATTGCCTAGAAGCAAAGCCAGAAGGCTAGAAATTTTGAAAAAAACAAAACAACCAGAACTTCACATCAAAAAGAAGCCAGAAGCTGAATTATATTTATGACTAGAAACAAGCTTAAAGAATGTGCAAACTTGCAAGCAGCTGTGAGTTAGCATTTTAAAATAACTATTTAATAATGGATTTTATACCAGGGTTCGCTTCAGGATTATCCAAAGTCTCAAAAATACAAAACATTGAGTTTTGAAGTCTCTCAGACTGTCAAGTCAAACTGTCAAATGAAATGCAAGCAAAACAATCAGCCTGTATTATATTTCTTTGCTCCTCAAATTAGTCTATTTCATCCTAAAATAAAACATTACTTTTAAAGCTGGTACATGTTAGGAAAAATTAAATAAGAAGTGATAAAAAATAAAAAAAATCTTTCTCCATCCCCCAGAACCTGGTTTTCTTCAACTTAAATTTGGTCAGTATGTCTGTCAGTCCTGGAACTATCTATTGGTGCTGCATTTTAATGATTCAGTGCAAATAAAAACTGACTGCTAACATAAATAGCATCTTTAAGAACTTTATTGCCAAGCGGCTATTTTTCATGAGATATTTTTTTTCCAGTGCAAATGTAAGAATTAAAGGACAGCTGATTAGCCTGAATTATGGCAAATCATGTGCTTTGAGTAGCACTGCTTACTTTGGCTTAATTGCACAATTTTTAAACAGAAAAATTCAAACAGAACAGTTTTGTTAAATATTTAAATTTTCTTAAAAATGCATCCATTGCACAAAGAGACATTGACACAGCCATAAAATATGCATTATTACTTTGTAATGAAAAATAAGTTTAAAACTGTATCTCTTCTGGAAAGAGTTGGAAATATTAGATTAGTAAAATAATTGGTAGAAATGATGCACTTGCTTACCATGATAATAGACACTCCTGCGTTTTGGTTATTCTGTTTGGGAAGTGTGTTGTTAAAGTGCTGCTTTAATTTACCTGTCACTTCAGCTTGCATATTATTTTCTTGAGAGGCATCATCCTTTTTAAAGAAAAGAACACCGTTATTCAACAAAGAAGCATTGGAATGATACAAAAATTAGCATAGAGACAAACACCCAGATGAAGATCCATGATATATGAACAGACCCTCGGCACACACAAAAAAAGGGATCTATTTTGGAGACCTTTATCTGAATCTCTTTTTATTTTCATCTAGCCATGTTCTTTTCATCTAGTCATGTTCAGAAGAATACTACTGATCACCTACTGAGCTCCTCACCAGTTTCTTTTGAACTAAAAGCTTATATTTTCCATTAAAATTCTTTCACACTTCCAAGCGCAATGTCTTTTTCAGTTATTTAAAGAAATGCCCCCAAACAAGTCTACCTCTTCTATAATTAGCAAAGGCATTAAATGCAAAAGGGGAAGGGTTGTTGAACCATTAAAAAAATAGCCGGATCAGTATAAATAAGTACATTCTGATCCAATGACTTTGTTATTAAGAGAAATGGTTGCTAGGTGAATACATGAAAGAGAGAGAAAGGGAGAGAGAGAGAAATCCTGCGAAGATTACTAGTTGCTGCCATCTCATTCAGGTAAAGTTCTTTCCTACAGTGTCCTGTGCCTCACCTTCACAGCGCAGAGAGATTGCTTTTTTCCTGCAAAACAGCACGTTCCTAAAAAGAGCTAACTACAGGTTAACAAGCTCAGCTCTGTGACCTAAATTAGTATATCAGAATCCTCTGGCCAGCTGCACTGCTACCTGAAACTGACCAGACCTTAAAGAGTCTCGCATTGAAGGTTTTTATTATGAATGCATCACCTTTGCCTCTAAATGCATATATTGGTCGGAAAATGATTTTATTACTATTTATTACCATTATATTTGCAAATGGTGGCAGGTAAGCTAAATGAAGAGTGGCTGTATGTTGCTATAGAGCAGAGATGTCAAACTGCCGGCCCGCGGGCCAGTTGCATCATACGGAAGCCGCACCCACCCAAGCTCCAGCAATGCAAAAAAAGTCGCAATACGTCTCAACACTTCACGTGACATAGCGAGTTTGACACCCGGGCTATAGAGGCATAACTTAATTCATTCCAAGTGATATGTGTTTATTATAACAAAGGCCAATCTAATATTTCTTTTTAATTATGTTTTAATGATAGTATTTTGGTATTTTTTGTATTCGTTTTTATCAGGCTGTTAGCCGCCCTGAGTCTGCAAGGAGAAGGACGGGGTAAAAATCCAATAAATAAATAAAATAAATAAATAAATTATTAGTTGAGCTTTTAAATTGTTTAAATGTATAATATAATAAAGTATTTTACTCACTGATACCCAGGGATGGTTTAATATCTGAGCAGCTGTATATCGTTCTTCCACATTTACTTGTAACATAAGACTAATTAATTCCTGAGAAACAACAAAAAGATGAAGAAAAGATTCAATAGAATGCATTTTGTATTAAACAAAGGAATAGCAAACTCCCAAAGCTGAATAAACTGCCCAGGACTTGGGCTAATACAGCAGTACACAAAGGGAGAAACGAGAGGCTAGGATGATAATGCAAAGAGTTTTGCGGGAAGGCTCAACACCATAGGTGATGCCACACAAATTCTTAGAGGTTTCTACATGTTTTACCAATGTACAGAGTATGAGAAATAATGGAAAACTAGAGAGCCAAGTTTGGACCAAAAATAAAATCTGACAGGCATCACCGAAATACTGCAAGACTATAATCTGTTCTAAAGGGAAAGAGCAAATGTCACTTTAAAGAGGAAAAAAGGAGGATCCATGAAATACAGAGTTGTCAGCTTTACATTCCTATTGGGCAAGATTCTTTAAAGATGATTAAATAGCATAAGCTTGTTATAAACATTTGCATAATCAAGTTAACAGAAGCCAACATGGTTTTGCCATAAATAAACCATGCCAGCCTAACTTTATCTTATTATATTAAGAATTATCAGCTTGATATAACGGGAGTCAGCCAGGCACATTATCTACCTGGACTTCAGCACAACTTTCAATACAATTTATCATGAACCTATCCTTAATGAAATTATAAAATATGGAATAATAATACTGCTATATGAGCTCAAAACACGATGCATTAGTGCAGTGAATGGCTTAGCTCCAGTTTGTGTGGAAATATTGAGTCAAGTACCACAGGGCTCCTTTTTGGACTCTGTATTTTTCAATTTTTTTATCAATGACCTGGATGACAGGACTGAGGAGATGCTTATTAAGTCTGCCAATGGCAGAAAGCTGGAAAGATGGCAGAAAGCTGGAGATACAGCTAGTTCTGAAGAGGAGAGACAGCACATCTAGGCAGTTTTGAGCAGCGGACTGAAATGTAAAGTTCTGAATCTGGATAGGAAAAATAATAGGCATGGTACAAGGACTGGGGAGATAGGATTTTCTCTCTCCAATGTAAAAAGGATTTGGGTGCCCTTATTGACTACCAGTTAAACATGAGGCACCAATGTACTGCAGCTATTAAAAAGAAATAGGATGGCAGATTGTAGGAAGGATTTTTTTTATTCCTCCTTGGACAGACTCTACTTTGAAATATGGCTCCAGTTCTGGATACCACAGTCCCAAAATGACAGTGACAAGTGCAAGTAAGTTTATATGAATAGAATAGAGCTCGAAGGGACACTGGAGGTCTTCTAGTCCAGCCCCCTGCCCAAGCAGGAGAACCTAGACCATCTCGGACAGGTGATTGTCTAGTCTTTTCTTAAAAGTCTCCAGTGATGGAGGTAAGCTGTTCCACTGGTTGATTGTCCTCACTGTCAGGAAGTTTCTCCTTAATTCCAGGTTGCTTCTCTCTTTGATCAGTTTCCAACCATTGTTTCTCGTCCTTCTCTCTGGTGCTCTTGTGAACACCCTGACCCCTTCTGCCTTGTGGCAGCCCCTCAGATACTGGAATACTGCTATCATGTCTCCCCTATTTCTTCTTTTCTTTAGACTATCCATATGAAGGCTATCAACCATATGAGCACAGTTTAAAGGAATTGGGTATGATAAACCAATTATAGATGTCTCAGTGAAGGTATGATAGGAGTCATCAAGTAGGAAATGAACATTTATTATTATATTTAATTAAAAATTTAAGAGCAACTGTTTCATTTTATTTTAGGAAAGAAAAGGGGGAAAATTCAGCTATTGTATGTTTAAATAAATGAGTAATAGATTTACTTACAAATCTATCTGCTGGTGCTTACGTTTAGGCTAATATTTACTATAAATGGAAAAGTGTCTGTATATCTATCCAGCAGGAAAAAATGGTCAACAAATACTCTTGGTGTTATTTAAAGTATCTGTGTAGTGATTTTGAAACAGAAAACTTCATCATTCACTTTATTTTCAGAAAAGAAAAGCTATGCATATTTTCTCAATTAGTTCCTCTCTAGTGGTAACATACAGCATGAAGACTGTGCGGAAAGCCCATAAATCTTTAAACATCGCTACATTACTATTACAGTATATTCCAATTCTCACTTACTTTAGTACACATAAAATCCTTTAGGTGTATACCTAGCAGACTGTCCCAGTAGGATTAGTAGTATTTCTGTCAGATTAATTAATAAGGCTTGCCATCTTAATCTGATTTTAAAAATGAGGCTCACAATGGGATTTGCACCTGTTATTGTTCCTGGAATACAGTGACAGGCTTGGTCAAGAAATGTCTTTTTCTAGCAAGGGCATCTGTGCTGTTGTAAGCAAATTTGGATTTGACACGATGACATACGCCTCAGGGGGTTTATTGGTGTATTGTTTTGAAAGTTATTCAACAATTATGATTCTCTCAGACTGTAGCAGACCCATCAGAGCCGTGGTGATGCAGTGATACTGCAGGCTACTTCTGCTGACTGCCGGCTGCCAGCAGTCCAGCAGTTCGACTCTCACCGGCTCAAGGGTGACTCAATCTTCCATTCTTCCGAGGTCAGTAAACTGAGGACCCAGATTGTTGGGAGCAATATGCTGTTTCTCTAAACTGCTTAGAGAGGGCTGTAAAGCACTGTGAAGTGGTATAGAAGCCTAAGTGCTATTGCTATTGCTATTAGGCAGGCATGTCAAACTGCTGGCCCACGGGCTGGATGCGTCATGCCGAAACCGCACCCACTCCATTGCCGGCAATGGGGAAAAAGTCCCAATATGTCATGCAATGTCATGTGACTCGCGAGTTTGACATGCCTGCTATTAGGGGTTCCAATTGTTTAAAATCATTAACAGTGTTGTCTAGTGAGTTGCTGATTAAAGGCTATGTTGGTTTGTGGATGCAGCCTAACATCCCTGAAGTATTTGGGAAGAATCATTCCATCTGTCAACATGAACTTTGGAAGAGTTCAGCTATTTTGAAATAATTCACACATATTCACAATGCAGATTTTCATGGCTATTTACTTGTGAAATGACTTCTGGGGGCATGTATAATGCCACATGACAACAAATATTTATTGTCTCACATGAAATTATCCTATGTTGTTTCACTAATCCAGATTTATAATTAAAGCAATGTTTTTCTTTCCAAGGCTTCTATAATTCTCTTCCAAATCTCACTTTCTCATGAATCTTTCTAATTTTTAGTGATAAGCAAGAGGTTACACATAAACATACAAACCCATTTATTTATATCTGCAACTTTTTGCAAAGAGGTAGAAAACAGATACCTCAATCAAGAGTCTACAAACAACTAATAAAATTGAGTCAGTCACATTAACATAGCTACCCTATAGATCAGGCATGTCAAACTCGTGACGTCATGTGACGTTATGGGACGTATCGGGATTTTTTCCCCATTGCCGGCAATGGGGTGGGCGCGGTTTCGGCGTGATGCATCCAGCCCATGGGCCGGTAGTTTGACATGCCTGCTATAGATAAATTGAGGACACATAATAAATTACATCCAGTTCACTTCTGTTTTGATTAGGTTAGTACTGCTTATTTTCTAAAATTTGTATAATTAACATAAGCTAGCATAAAATTATAGGAAAGGTACAAGACAAGACAGATACTACATGACCACAAAATATGGTTGTTAAATCATGCTGGTGCTGATGTAAACTGTGAGTGTACTTTATTAATAATTCTTATACTTTTTAGATTGCACAACTGTTCATAACATAAAAAAAAGATTCGTTTTCAGGGAACAAATTCTTTTCCCCCCATAAATTGTAAGAACAATCAATTGCATGTGAATAATTATTTGTCTAAAAAAATATTCTTACAAAAATTAAGGTTATTTGTAAAAGTGTTACATTAATTCATTGCTGAGAACAGTAAAATGTCTGCAAAGTATTTATAAATGCAACTAATGTACATGAATGTTAGAAATTGGCAGCTATTTTATGTTTTCTTAGTTCACTTCTCACTCACAGTTTACATCAGCACCAGTATGACCTAACAACCATATTTTGTGGTCATGTAGTATCTGTCTTGTCTTGTACCTTTCCTATAATTTTATGCTAGCTTATGTTAATTATACAAATTTTAGAAAATAAGCAATTCTAACCTAATCAAAACAGAAGCAAACTGGATGTAATTTATTATGTGTCTTCAATTTATCTATAGGGTAGCTATGTTAACATGACTGACTCAATTTTACTAGTTATTTGTAGACTCTTGATTGAGGTGTCTCTATTTTGGGAATGGGTAGACAGTACATGCCGTATTCAGAGCCAATCAGCATCTGAACAGTCCTCCTTTAGCACCAGATGGACCCTAATTGGGGTTTTGGTACATGGTTGTTTGAGGCTTTTAATTGAAAAGACAGGACAATTTTGGCTTTGGAACAGATCATCCTTAGGCGTTTAAGTCAAGAGATGAGATTTGCTGTTGTTGGTATTTTGTTTTTGTGAATGTGAATATTGTTTTTGTGAGTGTGGTTATTGTTTTATCCCTGATGCTCGGATTGAATGCTGTGGTTTCATCTTTTAACCCATATATCCCAAAGTCATGTCTGTGCAAAGTGTAGCACTATAAATCAAACAAAAGAATGAATACATAAATAATGCTCAAAATATCCCCAATGGGACTAATGAGAACAATATACTCTGTAGGTCACTCAGAACAAAAAATCAGGATAACTGTATATTCCTACGTAAAGGCTTGAGTTTTACAGATCCTAAGCAAGGAAAGGATTTTAATTATGGTAGGGATAGGCCAAACTGGCTTTATCAGAATTGTTTTCATACTTTCAACTCTGACACTTTCAATGCATCTTGGTACCTTAGCAGAGTCAGTGATGTTATCCCAATACGGAGAAGGAAATTCTAGCTTTCCAATTAAGATCTGATCAAAAAGATCCTCTTGAATATTGTTCTCACTGTGGATCAAAACCAAGCAAGAAAACATTACTATGATGGTCACTGTATTGTTCGTTCATAAAAGCTAAATTACAAGATTAATTTGACATGCACTATTAATTCTAATTTCAGTGTATATACAAGCTGAATTTAGTTTGAGGATAAATACAATCACTATTGTTTTCTTTGTAAATTATTTGTTTAAGGAAGACACTAGTAATATCTCTACTATTGTCTCCAGATATTTCTCAGATAGTGGAATACTGAATTTCTGATACAATGGCAAGTATGTAAAATAGGAAAATATAAAGAATTAAGCATGCATATCTATAACAACTTCAAAATTAAAACTGTCTACTCCATGGCATATAAGTTGCACCTATTTTGGGGGAAATCAAGTCTGCTTAAAATGTAATTTTATGTATTCCTTCTTTTATCAATGTCACTTTTTCAATACAGGAGATAAACTAAAATCATCAGTTACCCCAAATTTTGGAAAACCAGATGAGTGTTAGGACATCTCCTTAAATAGGAATAGCAAAAATATTTATCAATTAAAAATCAGAGCACTTTGGCTAAAAAGCAAATGCAATATTTTTCAAGCGTTATTGATTGATTCAACTTACCTACGAAATGGTGGAAACCCACATAAGAGTATGTATGTAATGACACCTGCAGCCCAAATGTCCACCTTTAAGCCATAACTACAAAAAAAAAAAGTTTGGGAGAGTTGCAATTTAAGTATATTACAATACACAGTATACACCAAAGTATGTTGAATTTAGTATCATTTTTAAATTATCACTTTTAATATTGGTGTATAATCCAAAATTTAATTTGCCAAACTAATAAGCAACTGAATGTAATTTCCAATGGGAAAGATAGAAAATCTTGGCAGCAATTTTATATACATATATATAAAACCAATTCTGAGGTAAAGTGAAGTAAATATTTAAAATTTGTTTCACCCTATTTTTATGAATCAACTTTCTAAAGTTGCTGAGTTTTGTGGCATTGCCACCATATATGTAAAAATGATCAAATCCAATTATAACATTTACAGCAATTATTTTGAGTATGTAGTATCCCTTTTGTCAACAGCCAATAAAACAATACTCTTCCTAAGTTTCTCTAATATTCACAGAACATTAAATATTTTCCTTCCATTGATATTCTTATTGCTGCATATCCTGTTTACATTTTGTATCCATTTAATTATGCAGTTTTACTTGTTCAGTTTCTGAATATTTCAATTTATACGTAAGTCCTAACAGATATTTTGAGTTTTGTATTTTAAGCTTTTCAAATTCAATGAAATCTCTAAATATGCCACTTTGTTTTTGTAATCCTTTGAACTATGCTATTTGAAAATATTGAAACCAATTAGGTATTTTGACCATATCAAGGAAAGAGTCTTGAATGATTTCATATTTTTAAATTAAAGTTTAAAGCTTATGATCAGGGTTTCAACTGATCACTTTTTATTTTTTACCTAACTTTATTTTAGTAAAGGCAAGTATGCTAAAAAGTAAAAAGTGATCATTAAATAAATAAATATTTTAGTAAAGGGTATAGTCTGGACTTATTATTTTTAATATTTGTTCCATGCTATGTATAATTGATCTATTTTGCATTTAACCTTTCTACTTGTATCTATCAGACACTGAAAAAGTTCTCTTCAGTAAATAAGGGGCAAATTTAAGATTATACCTAACAAACCTCTGATTTACAAAATTTGATAAGCTGCATTTTGCAACAGGCTTTCGACAAGTTTTTAGAATAAATTAAAAATATTAACAATACCTGTTCAGCTAACCAGGCACAGATTACATTTAGTTGTTTTAAAAAGTAATGTTAATATTATTTGTGGACTAAGAATATCAAAACTCTATTTTAAAATGAATTTTCACCCTGTTTCTGCAATGATTTCTGGAGCCACGTAGGTTGGTGTGCCACAGACTGTATAAAGAGGTCCTTCAACTACGGTGGCTAATCCAAAGTCTCCTAGCTTCAAGGATTTTGTCCCATCTGGATATTCACAGACCTGAGAGGGGGCAAAAAGATAATAAATCATATTGTGCAATTTAATATGAACATTATTTAGTAACATGGTTAGGCAATCTAGGATACTATGCATGTATTAAACTATTTAGAAATAGGCTGACAAATAGTTGTCCAATCGCTTCTTAGGCAGCATACATTCTTTTCATTACATTAGTTTAAATAGTTGAGCTAAAGCACGGCAATTCCTAAGATCAGTTTAGTGCAATATTTTAGACACAAGGAACCCAAATGACACTATGAGCTGATCAAAATTACTTCTTTATTTGTTGCAGGCCTATTTACAGGAATCTTGCCAGGCTGACTTCATTGCCTTGGGAATGGATTCTGGGAGAGGTAATATCTACACTGCTTCTTGCTGTGCAAGGACTCTAAATTCAGGTCCCTCTTCACACCTCTCTCTCACCTTAGCTGGAGATTAACACCACATATAAAAACAAGCCAAATTACACTTCAGAAAACCCAAAATATATAGAATTTTGTCCAAAATGCTGCCTAGAGAAAAGGCTGTATATTTTTATGACTGAACTAGATCTAGCCACACAGATTGAATCTGCAAATTATATCTAATTTTATGTGTTGCTGGTTTCAAACCAACTAATATTGATTAAACAATATTGATTACAAAACCAGCTACCATAGTTTGTCAGCCCTCTGAAGAAGACCAGATCAGGAAACTGACTCCAAAGTAAAACTAGAATTATACTTTATTTAGACAAGCTAAGGTCACAGAAACTCTAATTGTATTTTCTCTCATTTATACCAACTAAATCAAGGAGGAGCAGGTGAATTTCTTCCTAAAGCTATTTAGTTTACCAGGGCTTAAGGAATGCTTCTCCCTTTTTGTTTATATAATGGTTTCTGAATATTAGCAATATCTGAGTCTTAAACTATCTATCTATCTATCTATCTATCTATCTATCTATCTATCTATCTATCTATCTATCTATCTATCTATCTATCTATCTATCTATCTATCTATCTATCTCCCCCTCTCTCATTGTATAATATATGATACTTAAGGTTCCTCAGTGCTTGGACACAGTTGCAAAGATTAAAACTCCTATTTCAGCAGTTAACAGTTTGAAAGTTAGTGTCCTTGATATTTCTATATTAGTAGAAATATTAGAAGAAAATAGTTCAATTGGAATTCTGATGTTTACTCTAATATTATTTGTTCTTGTCCTTAAAATAAAGATCAAGAAAATGAGAGCACTCTGATGTCAGAAGCTGCGGCCAAGAGTTCATAAGGCTATGAAGAACTACACAAAATATCACCCATTACTTATATTGATTTTATTTTATAAATATGTTGTTATCCCTCAGAATCTCATTTGTGAGATGGGTGGTCATATCAAGCAAACAACAAACACCATGCAGAGGAGGGGAAGGATTGTTGGAAAACAAAACAAAACTAAACAAAAACAGCCTGGAAAATAAAACCAAAGATAGATGGGTGAAGAAAGGAAGAACTGAGAAAACAAACCAAAGCTTGAAAAGTAAGGTAGTTTGAAGAAAACCTAAAAGAAAATCCCTTAAGAAAGAAGGGATTTGAGCTAAAATACAGCTGAAAGTCTAAGCAGAATTTCAATGCATTGGACCCATCTGAAAGTTTTTGTCCAGAAAGAAGGGTTCATATTAGTTGAGCATCTTTCATATTAAAAAGAAGGTGAAACCAAAATCTAAGAAATACTTAATCTGGATATCAATTCTGTTCCATGCTTGTGGGTTAGAGTAGAATAAGGTACATCAATTATTAACTATTAATACAACTATGGATTACTTTCTCCAATATAAATTAAGGAAAAAGATCAATGACTGATAACTTTGTAGGCAAATCCTATTTTTCAGTTTTTGTTTTTTAAAGATTAATTGATCATAAATCATAATAAATACTGATTAGTTCAATTATCCTTTTGCTTCATTATCCATCGTACCCACCGACCCATGTTCCCACATAATAACTGAAATGTAGCAATTCTATAAATCCAGCAGATGGCAGCACATAGCTGCTTTTAGTTCATGTAAAACCAAAAACAAGAAAGAATTAAATAAGATCAAATCAAATTAAAATCTTTATCATGGTTATTGACTAGCATAAAATAATGTAGAACAATAAAAATTTCATTAACACTAAAATCTACATGAAAACTAAATGTATATGAAAACTACACAATGGAATATAAATTGTATTAAAATAGCATATTAATTAATATCTTGATAAACTTGATTTTACATTTAGACTAATAAAAGATATTCAGGTTTATTCTGTACTAAAATGAGCTTTATAACAACGTATAATAATAAAAATTAAGGGGCTAAATAATGATACAAAAATAAAGACCTGCCTTTTTCTGATCTAATATTTCAGTTAAATCAAAATGTATTTAGTCAAAATCCAATCCAATTCAAGATACATAATAGCTATAAATGATGATAATGCTAATAGTTATGATGAGTGAGATTCCTTATGGTTGTGCAGCAAGGCTATTTATTTCTAAGACTACTCTTAGAGGTAGTTACTCACAAGTGTTAAAAAAAGTAGCCATAGTGTATATTATTTTATCTAATAAAAGATACTGAATATACAATTTAATATACATTAACCAAAGATTTGAGGAGGGGATTCAATAAAGATTTTCTAAGATCTCTGTAAAAAATTCCAGTATAGCACTACGTATGCCAAGAACCCAATGGCTCGTGCATCACACAGATAAACCCTTTCTGCATAGGCAATCTTGCTCACCTTCAAGAAGTGCTTATGATAAAATATTAAATTGCAGCACTTGTGGTAGCTTCAGTGTGGCTGCCTAGAGGTTCAATCTTCTCCTAGCCTTCCAGAGGCTAGGTAGACCAGTCCCAGCATCAGCTGCCAGAGGGCAATCAAAACAGTCAAGCTGGCAGGAAGTTAGAACTAATGTCCACATCCGGTGCTTTTATTGCTCTCAATCATTGTTTGTTTACTTAGGTAAAAAATATTTCTGAAATGACGATCTAGTAGCATATAAAGCTGTTTTAGGACCATGTGGTATATTTTTCAATTAAATGGTGCAGTACCAAATCTGACTTACAATAGAACAACTTGTTTTGCTCGGGAGCTAAACAATTATCTTCTAGCTGTTCTACAAAGTATAAGTGCCTAACTTAGATTTTGCTAATTATATTTATTGGCTACATCTTTCTTCTCTTTTTTTTAAAAAAAAAACCAGAGATAATAATAGCCATAACCTGGGCAGATCTATTGATAAAAATGAAAAGGGAAGATAGAAATTGGAACATAGAGCTCAGAATTGGTTCATAGTTGGACACAGAGTTCTTAGCTAGACTGGGAAATTAAAACTCACACACACACTCCTCTGGGCCAAAGACTCTGGCAAATCCCATTTTGTATTGCTATCAAGAAGAGTTCTTGAACATACTTTAATTAATTATACAGCAAAAAAAAAAATATTTGGTTTTTAACAGGTTTTTATGGGGGGATGATGTTTTAAGTGTTTTAATATGCTGTAAGCCGCCCTGAGTCCTATAGGGAGAAGGGCGGCATATAAATCTATGAAAATAAATAAATAAATAAATAAACATGTTCCTGTATTTACTGTAAACTAAACTGGACTCAAGGGAGTCCAGGAAAGAAAAAGCAAATGTACAGATACAGAATAGGTGGCATCTGCCTCAATAGTAACAACTGTGAGAAGGATTTTCGAGTTCTAGTGGACAATCACTTAAATATGAGCCAGCAGTGTGCTGCAGCAGCCAAAAAAAGCTAAAGCAGTCCTACACTGCATTAACAGAGGGATAGAATCAAGACCACGTGAAGTGTTAATACCATTTTATAATGCCTAGGTAAGATTACACTTGGAATATTGCATCTGGTTTTGGTTGCCATGATATAAAAAAGATGTTGAGACTTTAGGAAAAAGTGCAAAGAAGAGCAACAAAGATGATTAGGGGTCTGTAGGCTAAAACATACTATATGAAGAACAGTTGCAGGAATTGGGTATGTCTAGTTTAATGAAAAGAAGGACATGATAGAAATGTTCCAATATCTGAGGGGCTGCCACAAGGAAGAGGGGCTGGTTTTCATGACTAAGGCAGAGTTTGAACTCACAGTTTCCTGCTTTCTAGCTTGGGATCTTAATCACTAGACCAAACTGGCTCAAATTCATTGTGCTACCTACTGTCATATGGTACCTTACCCAAATATCAAATAAGCAACATTAAAAATTAATGCATAAAATGATGATGGGAGTCAATTTTAATGGTCATGCCAATACCAGACATATATCTCCAAAATTTGAGTAAAGAGTGACTTAAAACAAGTGATGCTGTAATTTTTTGTTATCAAAGTCCTTGTGTTTTCAATACTATACCTATGGGCAATATTCAGTAACAACGTGCCAGATATGTTGAGTTACGGTTGTCTTGTAATATTTTTAAAGTCACAAGAACTTAAATGTTACTTTAAATCAGTAGTTTGCTAAAACATTTTTTTTAGGTGGCATCACCTTCTATGCAAAATTTCTTTTATGATTTCTAATGCTAATAGCAGGGGTAATATTTTCACTGATATAAGATGTTCTGTGAGAATGACTGGGCTAAGCTCACAGCTTAATTCTGTAAAGAAATTGCTGCTTAATGCTGCTTGCATGCATTCTTAAAACAAGAAATATACCAGAAGATTCTCAGGTTTGATGTCTCTGTGGACAATACTGAGACCATGAAGATATTTCAGTGCACTGGATAGATTGTAGACCATGGCACTTCCATCACGCTCTGTGTATTTTGTTGAAGATGTAATAGCATCAAAAAGATCTCCTCCCTGTAAATAAAAATGTTGAAAGGAAATGAGAAAAAATGAAACAATTTATATTATTAATGTTTAGATCAATGACATAGCTTAATTTAAGGGTTTATTTAGGAAGATAATATTTGTATTAACAGTTCCATATGAAATGATGTAGACAAAATAACAATAACAATAAAAAGCTATATATATCTTACACCCATAGAAATAATTGAGATTACTTTGCATAGCTGAACGTTGAGTGGACAGAATCTTTTCAGATGGCCTCTTGTGGTGTTACCAGCAGATGGGCTGAGGCTATGAGTCCCAAAGAGGTGGGCAGACATCTCAGTGATCTTAGTTCTGTCTCTGACAGGCTGGACCTTTGTACAGCCCCACCTGGCTTCCAGAGTGAAGAATGGGAGTTTGCTTCCTTGGGGATGGGGGAGATGAGAGGTCCTTAAAGAATAACTGAGTGGTGGTTAATTAATTAGAGTAATGGTTGGGAGTTGATGGAGTGGTGTTCACTTGATTATGCCCCTATCTCAGCAGGTGGATAAGATGATGGAAGTTAGGGTATTATAATAAGACTATATTTTATGTTAATCGGTACACTGTACAGGCCTATATTTGCTTCATTTTTATAACTTTAGTAGTTCCTTTAATTTCTACAAGATTCAACAACCCATTATAATACTGTATATACGTAAGAAAGGTGAATTGGCTATAAAATAGTTTTAAAAGTTAAAAAGTTAGGTTTACGGTTACTTTACCAATCTGGGTACCTCCCAGATATAGTATATGGATTTCAATTTCCAGAATTTCTCAGCATATACAAACAGAATGTAAGAATTCATAAGTATAGAACAGATTACTTGAGAACTATCTATTTTCATACATGAAAAAATGTGGGTAAAATGAGATTTTTAAAATATAAGACAACAGTTTCTGCTATACATATCAAGAAATATAGCAGCCTAATATTAAAATACAAAAAAAATCAAGAAAAACCTATGAGGTCTCATGTTGAACCTAATGTTTTTTTTCCTAGTCAGAGTTTATTTCTGTAATATTTTCTATACTTGGATAGAATATCAAAAAGAAACAGAAAAGTCATGGTATGCTTGTATATGACTACATAGTTTTCTGTTCAGTGACAATTAGGAATATTTCCAGATCTCTGAAACGCTCAACAACATATTATGCAATAATGGTAAACATAAACCTAAAACCTCACCTTGACCAATTCCATCACCAAATACAGCTCAGTTGCAGTATCCATTTCCTCTACTAGCATAATAATATTGGGATGTTTCACTCGGCGTAGAATTGACACTTCATTTTCAATCAAGTGTTCCTATATATTGTTAGAAGAGGAGGAAAGCGTATTTTTTTAACTAATATATAATCTGAAGAATTAAATGAGAAGCAGCAACCTAGAGTGATCTTTCCGGTATTCATCTCGATACTTGATCATGTGGCTATCTATTTAATTGGAAATCCCTTTACTAATAATAGTTCCAAAATATACTAATTAAAGTTAATTTAGTATGAAAACCAATCACTGATCAGTAATATATTTGGTGTTTTCAATTGCAAGTAGCCAACTAGGTGCATTCCCATAGCTGTTTATTTAAAATATCAGAATTGTGATCCTCAGCACAGTACAAGCATTCTGTTTTCATGCACTTCATGCATTTGTGAAGAAGACTGTGGGAAGTACATGTGAATAGTTTATGAGCAAGGAACAATAGCAGTATTTGAAAAGTCCGATGCTATTTTTGTATTCATCATAAAGATAAGAAATTGATTTATGTTCAAATTGATTTTCATTTCATTAGCCGTTACCCTAATACTTTAGTTACTAGAAACCCATGTGCTAAGTGTGAATATTCTGTGAATAAGTGGTACATCACACATTGCTTTAACAATTCGCACCTTTGTTAACCATTATAAGAGAGCATCAACAGTCTTTCTGGAACAAACATATGTCTGCTCCAAAGAAATATGTGCTGAATGGGAAAAAATGCAATATATGAATGACAATAAGGTTGGAACTCAGTAAATGGCCTAATGGGGAAAAGGTGGAACTCATACTAAAGTTGGAATAAAGGACAGATTGAAATAACTTAAGTCACAACAATTAGTATATCAGAAGAAATAACAGAAATAAAATATAACATGTTATATGTAATAAGTGCATTGTTTTTGTATATAGCTGGGGTTCTTTTGTAACCTTGCATTACACTGAAAGGAAGAAGAGTTTTGATAATAAACTTGCTGTATAATTTTGCTACAAGTGAAGGGAGAGACGTGTTTTGTTGGCAGAATATATTTAAAGCTACTTAAGCAGTTGCTGAATATCCTTCTTTGGATCGGCTAGTAAGACATTGAGAGAACACATTGCTCTTTCACTGCAGCTAAATCAAACCCTTATGGAACAGTAAACCAAAGACAATTTCTAGTAAAACATGTACAGAACTTCACAAACTTAGTTATCTTAACTCCAAGTAATGATTCATCTGACAAATCTCTAGGCTGATACAAAAACAAGAACTGAAGACAGTCACAGCCATCAAAAAACCTCTCTAGAAAAATAATATTTGAAGCATGCACCTGTCCCTATTTTGTTACAAAATATCAAATAAAGCACTAATCTACCGATTGCTTCCTGGATCCTACGCACACAAAATACAATCAAATATTATTCTGATCATCATATTCTGAAACTGGATACTTTTTACAATTCCTACAATTATAACAGTTAAAGACTCAGTCTACATATTTGCTTATTTCCCTTATAACTTATTCTATACTTTCAACTGTGCCTCTAGTTATTCTGGTACTGGGATTTTTTTAAAAAAATATACCCACCTTAATTTTTTTTAAATAAAATTAAAGATTTAGGGGAATGGCTTAATATTACTGATTTTTTTTAATTTTTTTCAATACCCAGTTCAATAATTTACAACTTGGACTATCTTTATGAAATTTCCCTAAGGATAGTTTTGTGAATATACATGCACTGTTATAGCTTTATATGAAGAACATTTTACCCAGAAGGTGTAAATGCTGTTCCAAGAAAAATATTTTCCAACAGTAGTAATAAGTGAATACTTAAAATAGTTTAATATTCTGGTACTATGATACAGGAATTCAGTATTTCTTCTTTACCTTTCCACAACATTTTCCTTTGTCAATAATCTTCAGGGCAAATTCCTTTCTGGTGGATCTACAAAGAACAAAAGGAGAGAGAAGAGTGCTTAAATAATTCTTTTGTTTGAGTACACACTGTGAAAATATCTTTGTTCAAAGGGAACAGATTACAAAATGAAGATAGAACGGCTTTTGCTTCTTTCTCTCAGCAAGTCATGTCTGCTGTTGCCTTGACTACAAAAACCAGCCTTTCTGTTATCATTTAATTTACTGAGATATAAAACTTCACATTGTGTCCGGATTTATGGTCAGGTACTCCATATTTTTCACCCTGTTTTAATAAACATACAGCCTTGCAGTTCTATAACAATATTTACAGATCTGTCAGAGAATAAGGAATAAGATGGACATATTTTTTTGAAATTCATTATATCAGCTACTCTTTCCACATTTATATCCTTAAAGGACAAGTCATATTAGAAATATTCACCAGTGTCTATTAACTTAGACAATTCAGAGAAATCCTGTTTTGAGAAGGCAGTTGTCTTAATTATATATACAATACAATGAATCATAATTCCATTTTTTGTTGAAGCTACAGGTTTAAGAAGTGTTTAATGTAGCATTATTTAGGATTTCACCAGATAGTTTTGCTAACTATATTTTCCAGTGGAAACTATAAAGGTAACTTCATTTGAAAATAAAACATTACAGAAGGAATAAAAGTTATGGATTGAAATGGTGTTTAGTTTATATATTACTCAATGTTACCCTTTTTGGCTACAAGTAGTCCAAGACTTTCAACCATAATAGAGCCTGCCAGTTAAGTGGTAAGATGTAAAAATTGTAAAACTGGTTATCACATGATTGACCCAATGTTATGACCTTTTTTGCAGAGTTCATTAAGTGAATGCTTGGTTTTAAAGCAAATGCTACAGTTATTCAGCAAACACTGTGGAACAACCCATTGTTAAGCAAACTCATTTTTTTTATTTATTGGCCACTTTTGCCACAAATTGAAACTAAACATCTGTTTTCAGCAAGAATGTAATAAATCATGGTCTGCATTTACTGCTGTGTAATATTGGAATGATCTATGGAACTATAAAACACCTTTCTATTGTGGCCAGTTAACAAAAAGAAACACCAAGAATAAGAATAAGAATAAGCATTACACATTCAGGCATATAGGCTATCAAATCTTGCTATACAAGCATAACACCAGAATTGCATATATTGAAGGTGGTTGGTTCAGTAGAAGTATAACACTGCTATGAAAGCACAGCTGTGTCTGCCAGGTTGTCATAGTTACAACTGCAGCCAGCTGAGAATGAAAGGGGGAAAAAGACAACTCAATAATATCTTAAGAAAAAGTAGACTGGATTGTATTAGAGTTATACAAGTGGAAGAAATTTGAGCAAATAGCACTGTTCCTTAAACTTCTGCATACACGTTTCAAATATGATACCTGCTAATTCTCTAATCCCGCATTCAGAATCTCTACATTAAAAAAAAAATCAAATAATTGCCATGACTACAAAATTAAAGATGTTTTCTAACTAATAAAAAAAATTCTTACCAAAAATTTAGAAGCAGTTCAGAAAAGGAGCTGTGCTATCAAGAAATACAAATAGATTCCCACTATAACTAATTAAAGCAACTGAAAACATGTCAGCCCCAAGTCAATTGTTACTGTCTATGCTTCCAACTTACTATTTTTTCAGTCATTACCAGTAATATCTATATTGGACACACCATTCCAAAAGATAAAAGTTCATCCTTTCATTTTGTTTTGTTTTTAAATTTATTTAGCGTACGGCATATCATACAACGATTTGCAAAATATATTAACATTTCACCAAGATTTAAAAAAAAAAACACAATAAAATACGAATGTTAAAATGTTAAATGTTAAAAATGTTAAAAAGCTCTATAATCAGACACCAACATCTAAGCCATCTAACCACTGAATCGCAACATCGTTCATATTAGAAAAAAAACCAGATATTGGACCAGTATATGCCCTTGGCTTACAACTGGTCATGATGTGATCTACAGTTTGATGTGGGACCCCACAGTCACACTGAAGGGAGCATACTACGCCGTGCAGGTGCAAATCCTTTTCAGGATTGTCCATTGCTGGCATAGTACTTCAAAAACCTGATACCTAGGTTCATTTATATGTCTTCGTATGTCTGGATCTTCAGCAACTCATTTGGCCTTCCATTGGGAATAGATGTAAAAGTTATTGAGCAGATGTTGTGCAAGTGGTAATGGGGACTTCCTAGATTTGAACTTTGTTTTTAAACGAAGTTACCTTTATAATTTCTCACACTACTGTCTTGTGGAATTTGTAATCATAGTTGACAATTACTATACAAAAGGAAAAAGAATGGTGTTGGCCTATCTTTGCTAATAAAGTTATTGATACACTGAATATTCCCATTGTTCTTATCATTTGTCCCTTATAGGAATTATTTATTTATTTATTCAATTTCTATAACCTAGCACACGGGTCGGCAACCCGCGGCTCCGGAACCGCATGCGGCTCTTTGAGCCATCATCTGCGGCTCCGGAGCCTCCTCCGCCATTTGCAGAGAGAGAGACAGAGAGGCACTTTCGCTTCCCTTCTCTCTCTCTCTCAGGCGGACTTACCTCCTGCAGGGCTCCTGATTGGCCGTGTGCCCGGGTACCCCACCCCCTGGGAGAAGCGTGGCCAGGGCCTCGTGGCCTTGAAGCCGCCCGGGGAAGCCCCGGGATCCCTGCTGGGAGAGGCCCGCTGGAGGCTCCGCTGAACGGGACAGCCGTCCCGCAAGCTGCGGCCCAAGGGAGACCAGCCCCTGCGATCCCCAGCCAGCCTGACCATTGGACCCGCTGGCCAGGAAGGCGCGCCGGAGTCCAGGCTGCCGGGAAGGAAGAAGGAGATTCAGCAAAGGTAGGAGAGGAGAGCTGCCTCCTGGGGCCCAGCGCTGGCGGCGGCTTCCTTGCCATCCTCTTCCTCCTCCCCTTCTTCCTCCTGTTGCCCCCAAGGCGGCTCGGGTGGGCGCCGGGGCAAGAGGGTTGCCTGGGGGGAGCAGCCGGGCTGGCGGAGGGGCTAGCGGGCCGCGTGGCCCCAGCCCCCACCGCGGCTCCATCGAATGGGCGGAGGGCGAGGTCGGGCAGCGCGGAGTCATGGCTGAAACGGCGGCAGTGGTTTTCTTGCCCTTCTCCTCTCCTTCCTCCTGCTGCCTCCAAGGCGGCTCGGGCGGGCGCCGGGAGGAAGAGGGGTGCCTGGGGGGGAGCAGCCGAGCTGGCGGAGGGGCTGGCAGGCCGCGCAGCACCAGCCCCCACCGCGGCTTAATCGGATGGGCGGAAGGCGAGGTAGGAGAGGAGAGCCGCCTCCTGGGGACTGGCGCTGGCGGCGGCTTCCTTGCCCTTCTCTTCCTCCTCCCCTTTTTCCTCCTGCTGCCACCAAGGCGGCTCAGGCGGGTGCCGGGGCAAGAAGGGTGCCAGGGGGGAGCAGCTGGGCTGGCAGGGGCTGCGCAGCCCCAGCCCCCACCACGGCTCCATCAGATGGCGGAGGGCAAGGCCAGGCAGCGCGGAGTCCCGGCTGGGGCAGCGGCTTCCTCGCCCTCCTCCTTTCCTTCCTCCTGGTGCCCCCCAGGCAGCTCAGGCGGGCGCTGCCTCCACCGCGGCTCCATCGATGGACAGAGGGCAAGGCAGGGCAGCGTAGAGTACCGGCGAGGGCGGCGGCCGGGCCGGGGGCGGCAGCGGGGAACCCCGACGAAGTTGCAGTGCCGCCGCCAACGCTGCCTCCCGTCCTTCTCCCCCTCCCCGCCCGTTCGGCTGAGGACACGGTGGGGGTGGTGGCCGGGCCGGGGGTGGCGGCGGGGAACCCTGACGATGCAGCAATGGCTGCCACCACCGCCACCTCCCGTCCTGCTCCCCCTCCCCACCCGAGAGAGAGGAAAGAGAAAGAGGAAAGAAAGACAGAGAAAGAGAGAGGAGAGGGAGAGAAAGTTAGAGGAAAGAGAGAAAAGAAAGAGGAAATTGAGAAAGAGGAAAGAGAAAGAGAGAGAGAGAAAGAGAGAAAGAGGAAAGAGAGAGAGAAAGAGGAGAGAGGAAAGAGAAAGAAAGGGAGAGAAAGAGGGAGAGGAAAGAGAAAGAGAGGGGGAGAGGAAAGAGAAAAAGAGAGGAAAGAGGGAAAGAGAGGGGGAGAGGAAAGAGAAAGAAAGGGAGAGAAAGAGGGAGAGGAGAGAGAGAAAGAGGGGGAGAGGAAAGAGAAAAGGAGAGGAAAGAGGGAAAGAAAGAGAAAAAAGATTGAGGAAAGAGAGAGGAAAGAGGAGAGAAAGAGAGAGAAAAGAGACAGAGAGGAAAGAGAGAAAGAGAGAAAGAGGAAAGAGACGAGAGAAAGAGAAAGTGAGAGGGGGAGAGGAAAGAGAAAAAGAGGAAAGAAAAAAGAGAGGAAAGAGAGAGGAAAGAGAAATAGAGGAAAGAGAGAGACAGAGAGACCCTTTTGACATCTAAAATGAAGGTAACAATGCATATATTCTTTTTTACCTTTATTTTATATATACACACACAAACACATACATACATACATACATACATACATACATACATACATACATACATACATAAAAGGTAAAACAGGATATATGCAGTGTTATCTTCATTTTAGATATCAAAAGGGTTTTGCGGCTCCCAGTGTTTTTTTTTCTGTGGGAAACGAGTCCAAGTGGCTCTTTGAGTGTTTTGGGTTGCCTACCCCTGTCCTAGCATCTCAACCAAGTGTCTCTATTTAAGAAATATTTTCCCCAACCTTTCTAACAATGAGCTTGGACCAAAAAAAAAAGTGAAATCGCTAGAAACACAAAACTTCATAGAATATCAAGAATATATATACATTGTAGTTTGACTAATAATATTAGTTTCTAGTGCTAATAATTTTTTTTCAAAATTTCCTGCTACTCACTGAATTAGTATATATAATCCATTATCATGATGGGCATTATGCACCTCCCAGGTAAATAGATAAATAATTTTGATATTTATCATCACATGCCAATAATAGTTATTTATTATTTATTATTTATTATTTGGATTTATATCCCGCCCTTCTCCTCATAGGACTCAGGGCGGGATATGAGATTTGTAGTAGAGATTTCCAGTTTTTTAACATGTGCCAGAAAGGAGGAAGAACCTTTTAAATTCTCCTTGAAATTACAATAATTTGCCTATATGTTCTCACTGTTCATTCTAATGTTATACATACTCACCGTTCTATGCATTCCTTTACCACAGCAAAATTACCATCACCAATCACCTTTCCCACTTTGTACTTTTCAAGAATGGTGGATGTCTCAGAGTACTTGTTTCCATTTATGCCTTCAAGATACAAAAAGGTAAATGTTAAGAGAAAATACAAATATAAACAATTGCTATAGAACTGTTAAAATACAAAGATAAACAGTTGCTATAAAATTGTTTAAAAATCAGAATAAAATGAATCCAAAATGGAAGAAAAAGTTTAAGTAAGGCTCTTTATTAAGATTTTAAACAAGAAATATAAAAATAAGAATAGTTAGAAGAACGAGAAGAAAGGAAGAAAGGAAAGATAAAGTCAAAAGTGAAGAAAAAAGGAAATAATGAAAATATAAAGGAGTAACTTCTGATTTTCTTTTGCAGCAGTTGTAAGTTTTAAATGTAAATTAACCCCTTGCTTTATAGATAAAACATGACTTTCATTTTTTCTATATTCTATTTTTTTTAATCATGAAATCCATATATCATAATTAATTTTTTTCTGTTTCATGCAAAAAGTTGATACGGGGTTTCCAGTCAGCATTAAACTTATATATATTTTCTTTGATCAAAGATGTTCTAAGATGAAAGAGATTGTGTTGCTTTGCTAAAATTTACAGCCCCCTCACATTTGCAAAGGCCACAAGAGGCTTCTGCACATGTGAAGCAGCTGCACCAAAGTTACTTCCATTCTTGCTAAAGAAATGTTAGTATTCTGCAGCATGACTTGCTAAAATCCTGAAGCCTGTGCCACTGGGGAAATCTGTGAGGATATCCCCCCATCACGAAAGCCAGAGAAGGCTATGACCCACAGCCTTCTTTAAGAATTATGCCCTCCAGCTTGTATTGAGATTGCCCTTGCTGTCCTGTCTTTGCGTTTTAGAATATTACCAATCTTCTCCCTGAAACTGAAGTGTTTTCCAGCACTTCCCAAAGCCAGAAGTACCTCCTTAGAAACATCTGACTTTTGCAAATGACAGAGGGAAGAGTCAACGGAAAGCTTGAAGACAACAGGAAGTGTTTCATTGCAACAAAGTATACTTCAATAAAGAGAATTCAGTTACTTTTAGAGCATGGTTTTCTTAAATAAGGCCAAATTAAGTTGCCTTGCTCATTTTTCTAATGCAGACATGTGATGGGCCCAGATACGGCCCACAGGGCCACCCTGGAGACAAGGGACTGGCCCCGCTACCCCGGTGCTGGCCCATCCCAGCCCGCACAGGAGGCAGTGAGCACGCGGTGCCCAGCGATGCCCGAAAGAAGCCACAGACCACTGCCCCTCAGTGGCCCATCAGCCAGCGAATCCTGGGGTCCCGCAGCCTGCACAGTACAGGTTGGTCCAAGTGCTGTGGCCACTGGGGGAAGCATGCGATTCAGCCTGCCGGATGCACAGGCACAGCAAGCATGGGCAAGAAAAGATGGATGATAGGGCAACCCAGCCTGTTGCTGTCACTGCCACACCATGGCCACTGCCCCATAGCCTTCACTGTCCAACTTCATCCTCCAATTCTGCTGCACATGTGAGACAAGCCTCCCATCTGCCACCACAACCCAGACAACCCCAGCAAACAGGAAGGTCAGGGAGCCCTCCATTTCCAAGAGACAACCAGGACTCCCCTCCCCACTCCACCCGAGCCCAGTCCTGGAGTTCCCCCACGTGCAGCCAGGCACCCCCTGTGCTGGACTGGATCAGAGGGTCCTGGCACCCTGGGAGCTTGGGGACCAGGCTGGGGGCCTGCCTCCTACTGCCCAGGACCCCAGGCAGCCTGCATCACCATCCGGGGCCCCCTGAGGCTCCTTTGATGGACCAGGCCCCGGTGCCTGCCCGGTCCCACCCCCCTCTGCCAGAGATCCCCAGGTCCCTCCCAGATCCCTGCCTGGCCCCCTACAGGCACCCCCGACGCGAGTGATGTCAAGCAGCCAAACCCATCCATCCACACCCACCCAGTCAGCCGCACCCACCCACCCACCCCACCCAGTTCCCCAAGGGCAACCACAATGCTGATGTGGCCCTCATTGTCAATCCCTGTTCTAATGTATTCAAAATACAGCCAGGTGCAGTGGTTAAGGCATCAGGCTAGAAACCAGGAGAGTAAGTTCTAGTTCTCTCTTAGGCTTGAAATGAGCTATATAATCTTGGGCTACTCATTCTCTCTCAGTCCTAGGAAGAAGTCAAGAGCAAGCTACTTCTGAAATCTTTCCAAGAAGACTGCAGGGACTTGTCCAGGCGGTCACCAGGAATCAACACTGACTCGAAAACAATGCATGCTTACACACACAGAGATTTAATTTGTATGCTGTGATTCTCTCTCTCTCTTCATTAATTCAAAGCTCTTCCAAAGTGCTAGGAATAAAAATACAGTATAGGTGAACACCCCCAGGGTTGGAAAGGGATGTTGTAATGCAATACAAAGACTAAAAATTCAAAATAAATTTAAATGTTCGCTAATAAAAGAACATGTAGATTTTATTTTCTAAAAGAGGAAATATATTCCAATTCAGTCTTTGCCTAACTTTGCTGAATATTAATATTATACCTACCTATTGTATTTTATTGATTAGAAATAATAAAGATCATGTTAATATTAATATTTGTATGAACATTTGTTTATTTTATAGGGACTGTAGTATTTCAAAAAGGAAGTTATTTGTATGCTTTATTAAGTGCAAATGCAAAAGCTTATATATGATTACAGGACACAATTTTAGCCTCCAAATAACTTTTTCTTTGACCTTCCATTCGTCATATTTATCTTTCTATAGTCTGTCTTTGTGTGTGGGGTATGTGTGTGTGTCTGTATGTGTACATGCGTACAAAGTAATTTACTTATTAATCCAATTTGTATAGTCATCCACGTCACCAAAAGTAAGATGAACTGGCATATAACAAACAGGTAAGACAACAGAAAAAAATATAGAAAAATAAAAATCACATTAAAAATCAATCTTATAAATCAGATATACAAAACCTAGGCACCGAGAAGCCACCTCAGCAATGTACCCTTCTAAGCATGTCTCTGGTTCCCTGAGAGCACCAGGCCTGATAACATAACTGGATCTTGTGGGCCTTCCAGAATATCAAAGGAATAGAGGTAATCTAATTTGGGAGAAAGAAGGTCCCATAAGGTAGGTGCCACAGCAGAGAAGTCACGTATCCAGGAACCCACCAAATGCAGGTCCATAGCTGATGTTACCCGCTGCATGACTTCTTTGCCAGATCTAATGGGGCAGGCTAATGTAACCAGGGAGAGGCAGTCCTCTGATAACCCAGTCCCATGCCATTAGGTAACACCTCTACACTAGTGAGTAAAAGCAGGTTATCCCTAAGAGGAAGACTCTAATTACAATATTATAAATCACTGCTGGTGCCACTCATCTGCGATTTATATATACATCAGATTATAATTATGTTTAAGTAAAGTTAGACAATAAAGTTTAATATTTCTAGATTATAATATCACTTACATGGATATTTATTTCAAAAAAGAATCTGAAATTAACACTAACATGCCTGATTGGATTCTTACCTTCAGGACTCAGGTAAGGAGATATTTCAGGCACACCATTTACATTAGAAGAAGATTCACAAGGAGGGAGAATCTGTCAGTAGACAAAACAACTAATGCTATGGCAATAACATACATCAAAATCATACTGCAAAACAAATTGAAATATTTAATATATATTAAATATTTAATAATTGCTATTTAATATTTCTGAACTACAGTTTCAGACATCCATCAAATGTCAAATAAGATTTAATTGGCATTCTCTAACAGTCCAAAGACATATCTCTTTGTATCTGTTAATGCATGGGTCTAGCTTAGTTTTTTAGGATCAGATAAATACACTGTCGACTGTAGGTTGCAATCCAGTTTTTTCTTAAAGCATTATCATATACTTTTTATCAATAACCATACTTAATCCTTTAGACTTCTTGAACAGGTAATACTGAAAATTAATGGGACTTAAAAAAACTCATCTAACCTAAACTTCATTTATTGCAATGGGTCCATTTTGAGTATTTCCAGACCCAAAAAACGCAACCTATATTTTTACAATCTGGTTTTAACAGAAAAGAAAAAGAAACTGAAAAGACTAATACAATCATAGACTTGGAAAGATTCTTTTGGTCTAATCCAAATAAAAGCATTCAAAATGGACGATGGTCTAGTTTGGTTCTAGCCAATGAAATCAATCTGCCATGCCAGCTGTTGAACTGCTCTTACTGTTAGGGCTTAACATTCACTTGGAATATGTTTTAAATCTAAAACCAAATAATAAATTTAAATCTAATAATAATTTCCAATTATGTTATCAATATTCTAAATGTGAATAAGTATTATTAATCCCACCTAATATTTTTATGAAACAGATGAAATTACATAAAATATACCTTGAGTCCTCGAAAACTTCCAGGACTAGTTGGTGAGGAACCAGATGATTTTGTTGATTTAGGAGTAGAAATCTGGCTGCTGGGGGCTCCACTGACTTATAAAAAAAGAAGAGAAATGAACGTGTTATACAGTAAAATAAAAGTTGGAGTTCTGGTAAAGAGGTGATGCTTTCAATTGATCTATGGTGATACACAGTATGAGAAGTATAACAAGTTCAACAAGATATGCTTATCAAGAGCTGTTAAATCCTGTTTCTAATGCTTGTATCCATCACTTTTTTTTTCAAAGAAGCAATCTTATTTTTTCTTTGTTTTCAATGTTTTCAATGGTTCATTGTATTTAAATGTTCCCCTCCCCCAGAGAATTCTCTTTGCTAAGTCCTTTTCCTTGGCTATCCTTAGGACTTTTTAAGAAAGTCTTCCTTGGTATGTCAATTCAAGCATCAGCACAACCTTTCCAGACTGGTATCCTTCCTTTTATATTATCACCACAGTTTCCAGAGTTCTCAAATAACAAACTGGAAAGGTTGCTTTTAAGAGTTTTCTTCTGTATTGTACTGGTAACCGTTGATAGTTATCTTGTCTATCTGTAAGCTTTTATGTGTATGTTTTGTTTATTGACTTCTTAGTTATTATTGTTTCACTATCAAATGTTTTATCAGTAAATCCTTCTCAAGAAAATCCATTGGATTACTGTAATGCATGGACTAATCCTTGAAGGTTGTTCAGAAATTGTAGCTGGCCTCAAATAGTGCAGATGCTATATTACTCACAGGTGCTACATTACTCCTGTAGAAATAACTATGTGGTTCAATGTGCTTATTTGTTTACAAGACTAAGACCCAAGTTATATACAGGAGCAGGGCTTTTTTTCTCATAGAACGCCCAGAACGGAGTTCCGGCACCTTTTTTGGATGGAACCTTGTAGGCGGATTGTATGACATGTGTGAGTTCTGGCACTTTTTTTTTTTTTTTTAAAGAAAAAAAGCACTGTACAAGAGTACCTGTTCTTTAAATCTGACCTCCACATCTTATGGAACATCTTTTGCAGGTCCAACCACTAATTATAGTCTCCTTCAAATTAAGCCTGATTCCCGAGACAACATAAAAAGTCAATTTTGTTTTCCTGAGATCTATATTGTGGACAAATTCCTCTAGGTGTCAAATCAGACCTGTCCTTACTAGAGTTTAGGAGGGGCCGTCTTAACCAAGTCTTTCAGGTTTCTTACATTTTTATTCCACCGTTCATATAATTACCTTGTATTAAGTCAAACAGATCCGTGCTTCTTTAAAACACACATTTTTACAATGTCCTATACTTACTAAATTTTGAGACACAATAGCAGATGAGATAAATATGAAACTAAAAAAAGCTAAAATTGTCAAAAGGTAACATTCTCTTGAACTTCATACCTAGTGCATGGAATTCACAACTAGACAACATAAATGGATTCTCTGTGCCCTTATTATGGCTAAAAGACCAATACCGCAATATTGGAAAGGTAAATGTATGTCCTCATTCACTCAACAGATAGAAAACCTGGTTATATTTGTCACCTTTGAATGGATTGCCTATAGATGTAGACTTTGTATGATAAGTGTAATGAAATCTAGAATTGGGGGAGATCATCCGTGGGCTTTGGGGTGGATTTCCATCAGTACGCTGATGATACTCAGCTGTACATATCCACCCCGGGCCACCCCAACGATGCCCTTGACGTGATGACCCGGTGTCTGGAGGCCGTGAGGGTCTGGATGGGGAGAAACAGACTCAGGCTCAACCCTTCCAAGACCGAGTGGCTGTGGCTACCGGCGCCTCGGCATAGTCAGCTGA